CCGCACCAGGCTTGGAACGCGCCCATTGTATGGTGGAGAGTTTAATGACGGTCGTGGTCGGGCTCGAAGTGCACACGTAATTTTCATAAGAGGATTTGATTTCGAGGCAGGCTTGCGCTGATTCAATTTTTGGGCTGGTTCAGAACTGGCCTACGTATTTTAAAATCCAATTTGGCTCGCGACTCAAAGCTATCCTAAATTGTTTTATTCGCTTCGGTTCACACTCATTGCTTGCATTGAATCAGTTGACTCACGGCTCACGCAGGCTGCAAAATCAAAAGATCCGGTTCAGATCTGACTCGTTATATATATATACATATATATATATATATATATATATATATATATATATATATAGCATTGTATGAAAAATAAGAACAAACAACCTAATCGCGAGTGTGCAGTTCGAACTTAGCAAATGCAGTGCAGCAAACAATACCTTTCCCTGTGACCTATTACCAACCAGCTCTCTCTCAAGACTAGCATGTTGTACCTGGCGCCTACGACCCAGACCCATTATTTCCATAGCATGCAATGTGGACTAGACTGCGCTAGACCTGACAGTTGGCAGTCTGCACCCGTCTAGCGCCAGACTAGTGCAATCAAACGTAGGTAATCACATTCCTTCTAGCCAGTGCTAGCCATGCCGTAGGTGATGAATGCCAGCAATTCCATGTCGGATTGCAGTTCTTGCATTAGCGATTAGCTGGCACAAGTTAGAGACATTATGAACTTGCCTACTTACGTAAGCTTAATAAGCATTACGAATTGCGATTGCGCTTCTCACAAACAAGCACAGCAAAAATATATCTCACTCGACCCACGTCTGCCAGTCAGGAAGAAACTGACTAAAGTGAACCGAACTGAACTCTGAACAACTAAACTAGAGATAGGCTAACGTGGACGCCGATTGCCGTTTCCATCAGGATATCTTAAACTCATCTCGTCAGGTCATATTTTGAAGGGCTAGAAATTACAGCGGGTCTCCGCGCTGCGTAGAGATAAGAGTGCTGTGCGCTGTGCGCACAATCACAGAACTATCCACAAAAGTTACAAAACGGACTTAACTCAATAGCTAGTGCACTTAGTGTGACGGCCACAGTCGCACTGATTCAAACGGGGTACTGCTTCCTTTCATCCAGCGACGAAAAGTCGCTGCGTGTTGGGTGAAAAGTCAGGAATTTTAATAGCGCGCGCATGCGGCTTGCGCGCGCCTGTTAAAATTCCTGGAAATTTTGTTGAACACATTTGGGAATGTTTGCATCATACATCAGACACGTTTCCAAGCAGGAATATTTTGAAGGTGATCGGCCACCATCAGCCATGATGTTTCAGGCCTGGAACAGCATGTCTACATATTCTCTGATTTTACACGGTCTGTTTACGCTGCCTATTCCAAACATTTTTTGTGATGCCTTTGTGCATTTACTTCACGTCATTATGAGTTGGAGGTTCTTATTCTGGCAATGATCGACCATTTATATCCAGGAGGTACTGGTTGAGTGACTTCGTCAAGCGAGCATCGCCCATGCGAACCAAACTCGACACTGAAAGTTGTGCCCATGGTGATGTTCACGAGTGAAGCGTGTATTGGTTGTTACAACATGAGAGCCTGCATAGCCGGAGTATCCGTGATGTCTGTGATGTGCATGGTGACTTATAGTCGTGGTAAGTAATTGTCTAACCTTATGCTCGGCACTGGCCACTGTAATCTTCCGATTTGCCCGTTTATGCTTCGTAGAGCCCTCAGTACAAAGCCCTGTATCGGTTATGAGGCCAACTGATAGACGCCAAAATCGGAGACATGCTTTTTACCCTTACTGATAAGCAGGTAGTTGTACGAAATTCGAGCAAGCGCTCAAGCAAAGGTGTTCGAAGTGGAAGCTCGTAAAAGCTCATTAAATGCACATATGCCAAGGTCTTTAGCGACAGTTGCATGCACACACACACACACACACACACACACACACACACACACACACACACACACACACACACACACACACACACACACACACACACACACACACACACACACACACACACACACACACACACACACACACACACACCACACACACACACACACACACACACACACACACACACACACACACACACACACACACACACACACACACACACACGCACACGCACACACACACACACACACACACACACACACACACACACGTATATAATATACATGGGTGCGCGGGCGTGTGCTTCATGAAGCATTCCGTTTTTGCCATCGTTCCGTTAAAACTGCCTGGGATGCATATAACTATCAAATGTAAGCCATGTCGGGAATGCCGGTCGGCTTGCGTCCCGTAATCACCAACTTCCGGTTGTGCAGCGGTTCAGCTGTGTAACGTAACCCGGCTCGCGCTCGGCCCGAGCACCTAATACCCGCTGCGTTTGAACATCATCTGCAGATGATCAGATACGTCGTTTCCCGGAGTTAGCTGATGATCGAGCCAGGCGGACCGAGCCGCAGAAACCTGCGTCACACGCTCACCGCGCCTCACCGATGCGCTGCGACGGTCGGGTGTTGTGGTACAGCCGTTACCATGATGACCGCTCCGCTCAGGCGAAGCTATTGAGGTAGCAGATTCTGCCCCGTGAAAGCTATATGTCTCATTACATAACCTTTGAAACAGATAGCACATAATGTCGCAACCTATGTAAAGAACATATAATAGCGATTTTTAGATGATATGAATATTCAGGTTTCGCGCGTTTCCGCCCAAGGGAATGTGTATAAAAGCATGTAAGCAGTTGGCACATTCATGTACAATCTAGCTTTTCAAGCATTCTCCATAAATATGAACACAACTGGGGTGGTGCATGCAGGACAAAACAATTGCAAACGACGCACATGATCAGGCGTTCTACACCTAACTTATGTGCCGAACCGAGCTGCTCTTTGCCATTATTTTTAGAATGCACTGCTCTGCATACCCTGGTAGCAGAGTGATGCCGTTGAAGGCTCGAGCGCCATGGTAGGTGAACTGTCACCGGCCGGATCTGTGGTGCTGCGTGGCGGGCTCAGCTGGCCGTCCTGCCTCGCGGAACGCAGCTGGATGCCGTCCTGGCTCGCAGAACGCCGCTGAACGTTGTCCCGCCTCGCAGAACGCCGCCGAGCGCTGTCCCGCTTCGCAGAATGCGCTGAGTGCTCTGTGCATACGTGAAGCGATGAGCCAGGTCGCTCGGTTGCCAGTGAGTAGCGGCAGTTTTGAGGAGGTAGAGCACGTGGTGCATCACGAGGTCTTGGGCAGGGGACCTGTCGAGGTCGCTCAAGATGTCACGCACATGCTTGGGCAGGGGACCAGCGAGCTCGCTCAAGATGTGACGCACATGCTTGGGCAGGGGACCAGTCGAGCTCGCTCAAGATGTCACGCACATGCTTGGGCAGGGGACCAGCGAGCTCGCTCAAGGTATCACGCACATGCTCACGCCTACATCTTCCAGACACTACTCGCGCGCAGAAGCTGAGTAGATGGATGCTATTCATAGACCGAACAGCCGTGCTCCCAATTCCATGTACTGGGATGCAGTAATGTATTAAGGAAATAACCAGGCCGTTGTCGAGGGTCGGCGGTGCAGTCGCCGGACGGAGAACCGTCGGCTCCATCGCGCTTCAGCTTCAGAATAATGTTTTGCGGTTGATTACATCGAATTACTTAGTTACGACCAAAAAACAAAAGAAAGGAAATTTGCTCACGATCCATGACTTGGAGTATTTAGTCGGTGCTTGAAATACGAGCAGTTTTAGTCTAGTGGAAACGTCGAAAACTGGAGAGCAAGTGGACAGGCGGACAGGAAACTAGTGGCTAGAGTCGAAGTAGAGAGAAAAGAGTTCCTGTGAACAATCCGCTAAATAATTTTGACCTCACAAGGAGCCAGTGAGAGCGGTCGGAAGCTCGACGACCGCTGAGGGAACCTGACAACTTATAGATTGGCTGGACAGCAGTGAGATTCCATGCATTTGGTGCAATACCGGCGACTGGGCTGGTTGTGAGCTGGCCGGCGACCAGGCATGACAGATGATATGGAAAAGGAACACCTTTTGAAGGGATCTTGGCGAGCTATCAGTACCACACGCGCCACCGTCACCCATGTGGGTCACCTGGTCCTGCAGCTGAGCACCACTGACTGCCCGGACCGAGAAACGATCTGCCCCACCCGCGACGGACGGACCGGTCGTCCGCAGCACCACCCGCCGTTCCCACGGCCGCGGCCGCCGCTGTCCGCACACCGATCTCCGAAAGTCTTCGGCGCAACGTGTTGGGGGATGTTCGATTGAGTTAGTCCACCGTTCTTCCCGACGACGACAGGCCGGATGCAGCGGTACATAGGGCAGGGCTCAGCCTCGGCTATGGGCTGTGTTGAGCTATCACGGGTGTCGGGCAGCATAGCCGAGAACACCGATCGGTTCACCTTAGGATTTGCTCAGATTTTGTTGAGTTCAGTTCAGCTCAGATTTTGAGCCTTTGGGCATTAGTGATTTTGATTTGGCTGGGAATTGCGTTGTGGTATTCACAGATGAGCCCGCTCCTGGAAAGAGTGATTGGAGTGGTGATGACGGTCCCTTCCATCACCAGCTGGAGTGGTGATGACGAGCGATGGGCCTTGACTGCACCATTAGCTTGGGCGGTTGTGACGCCCACCTAAACTACCACCAGCTGGAGTGATAGCAGAAGTACCATAGCACCGTCCCCAGCAAAAACGATGAGAACAGTGGCGTGGCTCCAGCTCCAACTGTACGGATGCTCACGGTTGCTGACCCCATTACAAGATCGGTCAGATTCCTAACGATAGTTGTGAGGTGCTGACGACATCCTGTGACCGATCCCCATGTCGGCCGGGCCCACTGCAGCTTGCAGATGCAGCTAGTGCTGACCCCAGCCCCTGACCCCGCCCCCAGGTCGGCCCGGTCGCTGCTGGTGCAGCTGGAGCGCAGACCCCAGCCCCTGACCCCGCCCTGACCCCACCTCCAGGTCAGCCCGCTCGCTGCTGGTGCAGCTGGAACGGACCTTCTCCAGCGCCACCGTCTGCGATCGTCGCCGCTGCTACCACGGCGAGCCGGACCTGCAGACGGTCATGGAGACGTCGCGCGACCCGGCGCGCCTGCTCTGGGCGTGGCGCGGCTGGCGGCGCGCCGTCGGCCCGCCCATGCGCGCCATCTACCCGGACTTGGTGCGCGTGCTCAACGCCGGCGCCAGACATGCCGGTCAGTGGCGGGCGGCATGGCACGGGCCGGCAGAGTCCAGGGATACCTGCTGAGTGACGGCCACGTGTTACGTGCGTCTCCGTTGTCGCTTGGCGTTTCAAACACAACGCTCGACTCACTGCAGAGGCGCATTGGTGGACCGCTGTGGCGCTTCATCGAGGTTAATATAGGGGTGGCTTGTATGCAAACGGAACCAGCGAATGGATGCTTTTTAGGATTGTTCACGTGGCCATCTCATATGACGTCACACGACATCTTACGTCGTCTCTCATATGACGTCTCTTATCTGGCCATGACGATAGTTAGTAACTTTTTACACGTCCCTTGGTTCTCAGATTTCTGTCATCACCGGCACTGCTTCATGCGGCAAGTGACCTATGCGGTCCTGCAGTCTTCAATAGGCACACACACGCTGAGGGTGCAGTCAAAGATTGACAACTGCTGTCCCAGGAAGGCGTCTGACATGGCCCCACCTCCTCTGCGCCCACCATCACCCCCTCCACCGCGCCAAGGCTGTTCTGCCCAACTAAATAATACGCCGTCCGCCACACAACACCTGCATCGTGTCAACACGGCGTGATGATGGTAGAGGGAGCCCACTCCCAGTAGCACCTCCTCGTCCACCTCCATTGACACCTCCTCCACCAGCGCCTCCCCCTCCATCAACACCTCCTCTGCCACCCTGACCAACACTTTCCTTGTATCCACCAGTTTCTCCTCCACGATATTAATACCTCATCTGTCCCCGACTACACCTTCCTCTTCCCCCTCCCCCCCCCCCCCAATACCTTCTTCACCGTCACCACCTCCTCCCCTCCCAACACACCTCCGCCCCCACCGCAACATTTCCCTTAAACCCGATACCGCGTCCTCCATCCCGCCGACGCCTACGTCACCAACAGCATTTCCTGCGCCCAAACAGCTCATCCTCCTCCTCCATCCCCAACAACACCCCTCGACCCCCACCAACATCTCTTCGTTTCGCACTGTCACTTCCTCTGCCGTCGCTGCAGGGTTCGCCGACATGGGCGCCGTCTGGCGACACGAGCTGGAGATGCCCGACATCGAGCAGACGGCACGCGGCCTCTCCGAGGAGGTGCGCCCGCTGTACGAGCAGCTGCACGCGCTGGTGCGCTCGGCGCTGCGCCGCCACTATGGCCCGAAGCTGGTTAGCAGCCGCGGCCCTATACCGGCCCATCTGCTCGGTAAGTGGCAGTGGGCGACGGGGGAGGGGTTTGGAGGGGGAGATTTCAGGTCAAAATAGTCAGGTTTTCTTTGTTTGCCGGCTGGTTGGTTGTGACAGCATTTGAGAGTGAGATAGTTATGCATCAATTGTAATCGTCTTGACCCGCAATTATTAAGTAAATCCCAATGCGTCGATCATGTAAGCACGGTCACATCCGTTCAGGTAACTTACCACTTTAATTTCCAGTTTTACCCACCAAGTGAGGGTTTGGTGCCTTGCTCTCCCCTACCTTGCTTGGCCCAGGACACTATTATGTGACGTCTGAGTGTACCCGATGATTTCTTGCAGACATTCTGAACAGTTTCATCACGAGCAATGCAATTCCGGTTACTGTAAGACTTATGCTGATTATAAGAATATAATTAAAATACATGACCAAGCCCAAAGCGGTAAAACTCAATCCAACTCACTGTCGCGCATCGTCAAATAACCTCAACACGCAGCTGAGGCCATGACCCATCGCGAAACACCTTGACCTGTTGCCAAACCTAGACCCGTAGCTACCGGCCGTCCGGTACAGGTCCAAATGTATTATGTAACTTGTCTATGAACAAAACATGATCTCACTTAATCCACACCATTAACGACTTTCAACAGATAACGCAAAATGAAGGATGTATTAAAAGCATGTGCAAGGATTGTTTCACGAGGCACAGGACTTCCGAAACCAAGTGTTTACAAAGAGCAGAGACCGATAAAGAGTTTTTGTATGCGGGACAAACTACAGGCTAATTAAGACGAATGTGCACTCCACGGTTATTTGACGAAATGCAATGAGTCAGTGACCTCAGTTGTCCACGTAGTCTGCAGTATAAGTAAATTTATTCGGGTAACACTTGCTGTGTGCACAAATAGCAAAGCTGCATATTCGGTGGCAAAGGAAGGCAGATGAATTGGCAAGCTGCAAGGATTTATCGTGGCTTGGCTCTCGATAAATATGAATATGATTTTCTTTTTCACATGGTTTTGGAGAAAGTAGTTACGGACCGGGGTGTCGGCGACAAAGCAATTAATATCATGCTTTTCCGGGTATTCTGAGGTCTGTGATGCAATTTTCCAGCTTTCATTAAGACGTTTGTGGCGCATTTTTAGCAAAACGTAATTGTGACATAGACAGGTGACATTAAAGAGGAGCATCATGCATCATAATCTTATGCTATATTTGGATGGAAAGGCGAGAAAATCTGGTGATAAGAAACTGGGAGAAAATCAAACTGACTAATAGTTTAGCATTCCTACATCTGCCCTGACAGAAGCAGCTCACCTACGTGCTCTTACATCCTCTCCGACCAGGTATATCTCGAGACCTTGATCAAACTGCACTCCGCATGTAGTTCAAACGGAATTTGCGGCATCAAAAAGGGGTTAAATGAATCCCATATGGCCGTGATCATGTAAATATGTTTCGCGTTTGATAAACCAATACACTTTCAAAAGCTAACACAAAGCATCAGATCAAGCCTTCAAGTCGGCTGTTTGCTCCTATCGCCTACAGCAATCTACAGGGCGGGGCTACCGTTCGGCACCACCGTTCACGTGCTCCCTGTTGTCCGGACGGCGCAATCCCACCATCCGCACAACATTCCTGGAAAACCGCATTACTTCTGATGTGATGTCAACTTAGTGCCTGCCGCCGGGACCGCGCCGATTCATGAATATTTGAGCAGTCGGTTGGGTTATGCAGATGCCAATCTGCGGCCAGGGCGCGTCCCGGCGGGTCTCTGATGGATTGGGCCGTCAGCTCGTCAGACGGCGACGCCTCGGCCGACTGCCGCCGGCTGACGCGGCCGGAAACGTCCCAGCAGTTCGATGCATTGTACTGTGTTTGTGACCGGTGGGATTTGTTGGTGATGGCTAGGGTGGGTGTGGTCTGGGCATTGGCCGCGTCTGGGTTTGAGTGAGGTGTGCGTGTCCACTGCCTACTTCTGCCGTCCGTTGACCGGGTCGGAGGTCTGGGTTCATGGTTTGGGATTTTGTGGTGGGTATGGTTTGGATTCGTGCTCTCTGGTACATTGTTTGACTCGGGTTTTGTGCTCGGAGTGATGCTGGCGTTGGCTGGGTATCCGGTCTTGATCTTGACTGGGTCGGGATCTGGGCATGATCGGAGCTCTTACTGGGTCTTTGGTCTGGTTGCGAGCTGGGTCTGAGTACTCGTAGTGCTCTGATGGTGAAGCGTGTCGGAACAGGCATTCCCTTGGTCATGCTCGTCTCTCGTGACACAGGGGATGACTGAGTTGCCTTTTAAATGGCGTTCACAACACAGCGGGTGACTGCGTGCCTGCGCCCCGACATGAGCCGCCTGCCCTGGTTTCCTCTGCCTGCAGGCAACCTGTGGTCCCAGAGCTGGGAGTCGCTGGCGGACATTGTGAACCCTTTCCCCGGCGCCCAGCAGACGGATCTCTCCAAGAGGCTGGCCGATCAGTTCTCTGTCAAAGACTTCGTCAAGGTGGGCCAGCTCGGTCTCGACTGAGGCATTGAGAGTGGACGTCTGGCCGCTGAGCGGGTTTCTTTCGGCCTCATATGTTACCCTACACCGCGTGTCGTTGCATTGCCCCGTTACAGTTCCTTGCGTATGCAAATATTCTATCCCACTGCTCTCCGTTATGAAATATCATTGCGAATGTTTGCCTACGCTGCGGTACGCCGCAACTATTTCGGATTTGGCCATAGCAGATAATTGAGGTCTCGTTGGCTGGTGCGGTCGTAGACTGCGATTGGCTTGGCTGTGGGCCATTAACGCGCCCGATCGTAATAGACAATTACGTTTCCAACGTCGGTAACAGCACGCAGACCTATTTGCCCAACGTACACGGCCTGGGCCGGACGTTACAAACAGCCGATTCATGCGTTCGTTTCCAGAACAAATGGCCGACAAATCTGACCTGGGCGTATGCATGCACCATTGACGCCCACTCATGATACTGAAAAGTCGTGGTATATATTGTTCGACAAATGTATTTAATCAATGCAAAAGTGGTGGCAATGCTACTGCTTCCCTGAGGTGCTGCCGGCCACCACGCCCCAGGCTATTGCGCGTGTCGTTTCGCCGTAGGTGGCGGAAAACTTCTACATGTCACTGGGGCTGCCGCCGATGACTGAGAAGTTCTGGAAGAACAGCATCTTCCAGCGGCCGGCCGATGGTCGCAACATGACCTGTCACGCCTCATCTGCCGACTTCTACACCGATGACGACTTTCGGCAAGTCGATGCTTCTCCTCGACGGCACCTACCTCCCAATCGCTCCTCCCATTCCGACTCCCGTGATGTTTGTATGGGGGTCTCAGCAAAGTGTATTATTTTGTTTTCCTCACCACCGTCGATGTTTAAACTGATTTCGTATAATAGACGAGTAGGTGACAACTCCCCCGCAAAGGAGCTTCGGTTTTAGCCGCACTGAGCGTTGGAGAATGTGCACTCGTCCCACGTATGCTCGGACAACAGCTTGAAAGGTACGATAAAGTTTCTGGGCGAGATTCCGGCGATTTTGCAACACGTGACTGTGACTCCTGCGGCATGGTGTGGAAGTCCTCTCAGAAGATCGTGTCAATCTCCTATTTGCCCCGAACCCGGCCCGCACCCGCGCTCCCAGCTCCGGCTTCAACTGGCGCTCTCTTCCTCAGCTCTGACGTGCGCTAGTGAAGCGTCGCCCCCCCCCCCCCCCCCCTCCCTCATCAACCCTACGTATCCGCTGATGCGACTGTGCGGTTTGCGCGGCGCAGGATACTGATGTGTCTCGAGCGGAGCGAGCATCAGCCCCACGTGTCCACTGATGCGACTGTACCGTTTGCGCGACGCAGGATACTGATGTGTCTCGAGCGGAACGAGCATCAACCCCACGTATCCGCTGACGCGACTGTACCGTTTGCGCGACGCAGGATACTCATGTGCCTCGAGCGGAACGAGCATCAACCCCACGTATCCGCTGACGCGACTGTACCGTTTGCGCGGCGCAGGATACTGATGTGTCTCGAGCGGAACTCGACTGATCGACGTACCGTATCGCTGACCGTCTGCGCGCGCAGGATACTGATGTGTCTCGAGCGGAACGAGCATCAACCCCACGTATCCGCTGATGCGACTGTACCGTTTGCGCGGCGCAGGATACTGATGTGTCTCGAGCGGAACGAGAGGGACTTCGGCGTGCTGCACCACGAGATGGGTCACATCCAGTACTTCATGGCGTACCGACACCTGCCCACCGTACTCCGGGTAGGTCAAGTTCTCGGGGGACGCGCAGAGGAATTTGTGCCGGCATTCCGAAGAGGGATCCCGAACTCCACAGGGCTCTTCGACGACACGAGCTCGATTTGAGATTTCATTGTTCCGATTCACAGGCGTGTTTGGTGGACAGGACGTGGGCAATATTAGCCATTGCTGGCACAGATTAAGGTATTAACGGCTGCACTCTGAATAGTGTCGATTTAATACGTGGTTTGCTAAACCGCCCATTTCAGACACTTACATGGCTCAATGCGTGCCACTCAACAGGGAAACAGAACTGGATGTCGTAGCCATTGCTCATGATTTATTTCTGATACAAGGACTGGGTTTCGGCGCGGTGCTGACGCAATTCAATTAAGTTGTAAGTATATTGAAATTCGGAATCGTTCACTTGAATAACGCAACAACCATATTCACCTTGTCGGACAGTTTACCGCGCCAGACTGACCGTTTCGCCTGAGTAAAAGATAGGACAGGGAGACGAAGCCCGCTAGTTTTGACAAGCTGAGTCAGCGCACTGTCACCAGCTCCCATCCAATGTCCGCTCTCACGGAACTGCTCGCCAGGACGGCGCCAACTCAGCGTTCCACGAGGCGGTGGGCGACACGTTCTTCTACTCGATATTTGGCCCTGCCCACCTCCATCGGCTGGGCCTGGCCGAGGCGCCGACCAACTCGTCGCAGACAGGCGAGTACCGGCGTAAGCCGAGCGACAGGGTCGGCTGATCTGCGCAGCAGCAGCCGCCGTGCTTCTCTGACACAGACGGCCGCCGTGCTTCTCTGACACAGACGGCCGCCGTGCTTCTCTGACGTAAACGGCTGCCGCGCAATTCGGACACCGACGGCCGCCGTGCTTCTCTGACGCAGACGGCCGCCGTGCTTCTCTGACGCTGATGGTCGTCGTGCTTCTCTGACGCAGACGGCCGCCGTGCTGTTCGGACGCAGACGGCCGCCGTGCTTCTCTGACGCTGATGGTCGCCGTGCTGTTCGGACGCAGACGGCCGCCGTGCCTCTCTGACGCAGACGGCCGCCGTGCTGTTCGGACGCAGACGGCCGCCGTGCTCCTCTGACGCTGATGGTCGCCGTGCTGTTCGGACGCAGACGGCCGCCGTGCTTCTCTGACGCAGACGGCCGCCGTGCTTCTCTGACGCTGATGGTCGCCGTGCTGTTCGGACGCAGACGGCCGCCGTGCCTCTCTGACGCAAACTGCCGCCATGCTGTTCGCACGCAGACGAACATCAACGAGCACGTCGTCATGAATGTGCTTGATGTGAAAAAGAGAGGTCCTCATCCCCTGGTTTGTGGCATTATTTGTTCAAAGTTAACTGAACTAAATGAATAGTTGCTGAGTTGAGGTCCCTAAATGTACCACAACACATTGGTTAAATGACGTTCCAGTACCAAACGATGTTGGCGGTACAGAATATTTTGAGCTGCTCTCACTAACAACAGTGGCGACGGTTTAGAAAGATGAGGCAAAATATTACAGTTGCGATGTGAGACACATAAATCCGCCTCCATCAACACCTTTCTCTCTGAAGGAGGGGCATAGCTTGATACATTGAATACCGCCAATATAGTTGTTGCTTAGCACTATGGCGTCGTTACACCAACTCCTCCTGGCGTTGGAACGTCGTTAAATCCACATAAAACTTTGACCTGAAAGTGCCGCCCTTAACGTGTCCCACCTGAGGATGACGTGGGCTTTAGGGCGCGCCAACCACAATGGTCATATGGCGCCCATCTGCAGGCGACGAACATCAATCCACTAATGACCGAGCAGTCTGCGCAGCATTTCTCATGGCGCACTGACTATCCATAATACAGCCACTGTCACAGCCTTCGGTTCGCAGCGTAACGCAACCTCCGCAAGACACTGCCGGGCTGCTGCTGCGTCCTTCCCCCGTCGCCGCCTTCAGCTGCCTGACATGACCCGTGCGCATATTGCAGGGCGTGGCCTGCAACTGCTGCTGCAGCGGGCCCTGGCCAAGGTCCCTCTGATCGGGTTCAGCCTGGCGCTGGACACGTGGCGCTGGCGCGTCTACGGCGGAAAGGTGCAGCCACGCGACTACAACGCCGCCTGGTGGCAGCTGCGCGAAACGCTGTCTGGCGTGCGCCACCCCGACTGCTCGGCAGAGACGATGAAGGCGACCGCGTGCAACCAGGCTGGCATGGACCCGGGCGCGAAGTTCCACGTGGCCGATAACATACCGCACATCAGGTGATGATGGGACAGAGGCCAGCACATCAGGTGATGACGGGACGGGTGCCAACATACCGCACATCAGGTGATAACGGGACAGAGGCCAACATACCGTACATCAGGTGACGACGGGACAGATGCCAACATACCGCACATCAGGTGATAACGGGACGGAGGCCAACATACTGTACATCAGGTGATGACGGGACAGAGGCCAACATACCGTACATCAGGTGATGACGGGACAGATGCCAACATACCGCACATCAGGTGATAATGGGACAGAGGCCAGCATATCGTAAATCTGGTGGTAACGGGACAGAGGACAACATACCGTATATCAGGCGATGACGGGACAGACGCCAACGTACCGCCCATCAGGTGATGACGGGACAGATGTCAACATACCGCACATCAGGTGAAGACGGGACAGATGCCAACAAACCGCACATCAGGTGATGACGGACAGATGTGAATATACCTCACATCAGGTGATGACGGAACAGAGGCCAACACCAGGTGACCACGCGACGGAGACGAACATACGGTGCATCAGGTGACGACGAGATAGGGCTGAGTTCGTTGTGCAAGTAAGGTGGTGACGAGGACAGAGGCGAACACTGAAAATCAGGTGACAATAGAGTGGAAGACGTACAAGGCGCATTCACAAATCACCAAAATAAGGACGGCTGATGAGCACGAGCGCTCGTAGCAGTGCAAAGTTTCAGAAATATCTGCAGCGGTAAATGCGTGCGCTACGGACACGGTAAACGCCGGGTGATGCAGTGAACCGATGCCAGCCGTTGCAGCGATAAATGCGTGCGCTACGGACACGGTCAACGCCGGGTGATGCGGTAAACCGATGTCAGCCGTTGCAGCGAATGCGTGCGCCGCGGACACGGTCAACGCCGGGAGATGCAGTGAACCGGTGTCGGCCGTCTCACGACCGCTGAATGTCGAAGCAGTCGATTTAGGCTTGACGTGACCGCGATATATTCAGCACTGCATGTCTCTCGCCTAAGCTCTCAGGGCCTTTTATCGGATTGGCTGACCTTGTTGATGTCTGAACGCGCGAGATCCGTTGATCTGACACTTGGCCGGTCGGCACCGGTACCCAGGATTAGCATCCCCCGCGTCCGTGCCAACTCAACGCAGCCTGGCTTGCAGCCGAGAGACGTCGAACGGTCACCGTGTGGGAAGTTTGTACATTGGCAGGAGCGTGACTTGAGGGCGTTCACTGACCACGACCGAGGTATCGGGACTGACGATAATGCACGGAAACAGGTGGCACAAAAAGTGGATAGATAAGGCGGTCCTGCTGTTCTGGCACGTCTGCTGCATACCCGATAGCTGCACGACCTCGACGTCCTCTTCTGCCTTCTCATTTCAGTTTCCGCAATTTGAGTGCGAGCAGGCCGAATCCACTGTCATAGCACCTATCGGACAGCTTAAATGGTTACATTCCATTGTAAAGGACGCAGTTTGCGAAACAATTGGAGGAGGACTGACCAAGGAAAACGGCTTGCCATTCCCTCCGTAAAATGGCAGAAAAAGGCTTTGCCCAGAATTTGACCCACTTTTTCTAAGTCAAGGGGCGGGGGTCAGGTTAGACCCCGTCCCAACTGACTTGGAAACTATGCCCCTGTCAATGGTGCTTGCCTGCAGAAGCATCTGAAGTAGACATCACCAGAATGCAACGTGGTGTAAACCATGACACGGTAGCCGCCAGGGGTTGCCGCGTTTCAGCGGTTTCTGAGCGCCGTAACAGCATCGCCATGTGCCCCGTCCACAGATACTTCCTGGCCGTGTTCCTGCAGCTGCAGTTTTTCGAGGGTCTCTGTGAGGCGAAGTACGGCTCTCCGCTGCCGATACCGCTGCACGAGTGTGACCTCTACGGCTCGCACGCTGCCGGCAACAAACTCATGTACGTCCACTTACGCTGCATGAAATAACGCTGGTGTAGCGGCAATGCTATTTGTGTCGGCAGTTTTGGCATGCAAACACTGCGTTAGTGGCGGAACACGCAAACTGAAACGCGCAGCTTTCACCCTGGACACGTGGAGCTGCAAGTTGTGCGCCAGTTGGTCGCTAATGCCCTGCGGATCAGTGAAGATTATTTCATTAAATTAATAAATCAAGATCATTCATAATTATCACACCATTGCCACGATGCGTGCAATGTGTAATTCATGACCACAAGCCATCAGTGCAAAAATGTGGGTGCAGCGATCAGCCGGTCAAATAGGAACGACGCATGCAATTTCAAGTCATCGGATGTGCAACTACAGCGAACATAGCTCTTCACAGCTACACGATCCGCAATTAAGAACAGTGGGGTCGGGTATTTACTTCCCAGCCCCGCCTCTCCTGCTGGGGGAAGGGACTCAGCCAACTGTGTCTCGCGGCCCGACGTCAGACGCTGTGGCCGGGCTGATACGTGACGCGTTCCAGGGCGATGATGTCCCTGGGCAAGAGCCGCTCGTGGCAGGACGCCCTGGAGGTGATCACCGGCTCCAGGCAAATATCCGCCAAGCCCCTACTCCGCTACTTCAAGCCGCTCTACGATTGGCTGGTGGCCGAGAACCGGCGTACGCAGCAGATCGTTGGTTGGATGACCAGCGAGTGAGACCACGTGGTCTGCCGCATTGACCAATAGCAGGGTCCTGACATCAACGTGGCCCGGCAATGATACTAGGCGTCTAGGAAGTCCATTCGGAGAGACGAACCTGACTCGGACCAAATGCTTCACTAAGTGTTATAACACACTCACCCCGTTTTATGACAGAGCATTACGTGGAGCGGTATTCGGCGTCGGTTAAACATGTCACAAAATACTGGCAGCAGCCACTAACGTCGGCGAGTGAAAACCATAAGGGAAATTTCGTAATGTTCCGCTCATATCCACCCGACGGCGTTAACTTCTGGTGGAATAGCAAGTTCAAATACAGAGGGGGTGGGGGCGCCCCTCCCCTTGCTCCTTCAAAGGTGGCGGTCAGGCATCAATTGACATTCTTCTGAAGTTCAGATAAAAGTCAGCGTAAGTTACTGAGGGATTTTTCTCGTAAGATAGCTCGTGATGCAAATGAAGCGAAATTCCACCAGTTTCTGGAAATCAGGACATTTTTATGGACTGCTCTTGTTCCGGTCGCGCCACTGCTGGGGCCGTGACACAACAGAGACTCGAAGCCGGGCAGCCCCCTTGAAAGAGGGGCAGTTTTCGGGCATTTCCCAAGGAGATATCGATGTGACCCTACTGGCAATGAAACAATGGCCTGAAGTATATCTGCATATTCGAAGCATATCTGGCGAGAGTACGCCAACCATCCGATTGTCATCCCGTAAATTGACAGCTTTCAATACTGTGGATAGCTCACTGTTCAGAAGTACGAGCTATTTTGTGCTACGTGCAAAGGAGTAGATCAATATGTGAGTTATATGTTACCGGCGATTTAGCAGTAACTGCTGTATTCATGTATCACAAACGATAATAAACCCACTCCACCGCATTCATGTCCATTATCACAACATTCCACGGGTGTCTCTGCCACGCCAGCTTCACAAGATCCAGCCTCGATATATGGCCGCGCAGGACAACACAAGCACAAGGCACAGATCGCTGGGAGCTACTTACATGGCAAACAATGGAACTCCACCGAAGAGCCCATGTCGATCGCACACTCTCGAACTTTGGCAACCAAGGACACCAATAACGGCACTAAAATAACGGTAACTTTTAGCTTCACAGATACCTTGATGTTGGCCTTTGGTGTGGACTGTGCGGCGAACCCCTTAACAGCACTGCGGGGCACTAGACCCTGGCGTGCAGCACGGACTAGGAATGTACTACATCAGGATAACCAACAGGCACTCCAGACATCGGCGTGCCGGGAACCGTGCGATCCCCCGTTACGTGCGATCCCATGTGACGTCCATTGTTCGGCGTGTCGACTTCCCCGCCTCCGTCGTCACGCTGTATCCATCTGACGTCCGGACGGCCAGCGTCACTAGTCCTTCACCCCGAGGTACTTCAGCAGGTCCACAGCTTCCTTATGCGCCTGCCAATCACGCCCCAGCGTGACGGGATGGGAACACGAGGGCGTGAAGACGCCCGCTTGTCGGCATACGTGAGCATGAAAGCTGGAGCCAGCACGCTGAATGACACACATGGAGCAGTGCAAGTCGAGCGTTATCTGCGAAGGGCGCCATGCGAACTATGCCCCACGTGCGGCAAACGTACGCACGGACCGGTAAGCGAATCAAATGAAACGAACGAACACACATTATCACTATGGAGACGACGTAGCGTGGTGCACTGACCTGCTTGTCGTCCGATGTTCTCACAGGATAGTCACGTGTCATCTTCAGATACTTGATGGCATTCTCGTTGTCCTTGATCTTTTGGTAAGACTTGCCAATCATCAGCAGGTTCATGCTGAAAGGTCGTACCAGTGATTTCGATGTGCTACTGGCAAAACTTGTAAATTCGAAATAAGAGAGGCAATCGGGCACTGTGGCATCACCCCAAAATGCTAATGAGCTCGGAAGCATTGTTTCCAGTGTGGACCGTCGCTTTTTACATCCGCGATATCACATTTTGGAATGCCTGCATCACCATGCTGCGATCGTTCTAAATATATCACAATTCCCGTGATGTTGTTTTCATCATGTACCAATTGCTATAAATGTGGTAATTCAATCCTCCGATAACAACGCCCTCCAGAGCAAAAAGTGCATCCTATCAGCAACAACCCAGTCAGCACACAATCCCGATCTCACGCAACAAGCTTACACGGAAGAAACGGTATCTTCTACAATCCTGAACATCCCGCACACTAATAAATCAACAATACAAAGAACAGTACGGCTCTTCACATCAGATTCAAAACTGCCTCTCCTGCCTCCCATACCGCCGTGTCACTCTCCCCGCTCTCCCGCTCTCCCGCGCGCCGCTCACCTGTACGACCCGGGCTTGGCCTCCTCCGCCTTGAGGAAGTACTCGAGCGCCTCCTGGAAGGTGGCCTTGGGCGGCTCTCCGTACACCACCTGGGCCAGCTTGCGCATGGTCCACGAGATATCGGCCACGGTGAAGGCCCACATGCCGATCAGGTGCCAGTTGGTCGGGTCGCTCGGGCCGTACTCGCATGCTTTCTGCCGGTATAACAGCGGCCGTCACAGCGCCACGGAGCGGAGTAACATGGGGTTCGCGTATCGGAGTCTGACAGAGACGCCATCGCGGCTCATCTAGGTATGCTGGCGGCAAGACGGCGTCATATTTTTCGTCAATCATTTTTCAATAGCAAGCCAATCCCCGTATGATGTCGGTATAATGATGACTAAACTTCACCGTAATAACATCACAGTGAGGACCCACATAATCTGTCACGCATTCCATCGCCCTAGGGCCGTTACTTCACATGCTTTCGAGGGGCCTCAGCGCTCCCTCTCCCCCAGTGATGACTTCAGCCCCAAGTGTTCCTCTGAACACTCTTCAATGTATATGGGCAAATACTGGGCAAAACTGGGCCAAAGAAATCCAGAACAGTTATCTTAACTGTTCTTATGCTAGGCGGTAGGTACTCCGTACCTTTCCACATTCATATTAGTATCACGCTAACTTTTCACGAAACAGTATCTGTAGGTATATAATGTTTTAATCGTGTGAACTCCTTCAAATGTTAAGTAACTTCTTTATATTCAAGCTCGCAAATATTTGGCAAGTTTTCAAATGTGACGCCTGGATTGGGATACAGAACAATTAACAGCAATATACAGCAGCTTTTAAAAGCACAGGGTGGCCACGATTAAAGTTAACACATGTTTTCCCCCAAGCAGTGGCGAGTACATTTGCAATATAATCGTTGCTGTGATGGTTATAAAACACGATCAGCGTTTGCGTTAATGGTAGTGATCAATGACCCATTACTTCAACTTGCTATGGCGTTTTTTGCGAATTACACTCCATTACACGCTTTTCACAAAACGAAGGCCACATAAACTTCAAATAAGAACTAATTTCTCCGCAGGGAAAACCACTGAATCCACGACACATAAAAACGCAATAACTTGACGCAAATTCAAGTGCCTGCAATCCGGGGAGAAAATACGCTTTGGATTAATGTAAGGTCAACCCTTTCGGCTCAGTTCCCCCCCCCCCCCCCCGCTCCCCCACACCCTGACACCCCAGCCTAGCCCAGACAAATGCGTTGCTACTACTTAACGTACGCCAAGGGTGCTAAAGGTGAAAAAGAAAAACTGGGAAGATGTTGAGAAGGTATCACCCACGTGACAACCACCTTCAGGCTGGCCGCGCAGACTGGCCAGGGCACTGGATCACCGCTCGCCACAACGGGATGCCACGTGAACCGGCTGCACGCGGCACAGATGTGCTGAACTCCGGAGGCAGGAGAAGGACCTTGGGACAGGTGCAGGTCGTCAACTCAGGTCACACATGATGCCGTTGGCGCTTCTTGCCCAATGACAAGCTTACGACGCAGATCCTGCCACCGTGGCTGTTACCAGCGTCACTGGGAGGCGGCGTGTTCCCTTACCGCGGCGCCTCGCTGATTATAACACCATGAAGTTTGCAAGCATCAGGCTCATGGCCCAACATGTCGTGACATTTGGACACCGGTTCAATATTACACAAAAACTCATTCGGGAGCGCAACTGCGGTCATCTATGCGTGACAAGAATTGGTTGTAAACAGATCCCTGTATGGGTCGTCCATACATTACGTTGCACACGGACGGAGAGGGCTTTGATGGAGCGTGACCGACTCGTAACGAGTATGAGGGGTTGGACCGTAAAATGCTACACTCGGGCGTGGCCGCAAATCATAGTCAGGCCCTTCTCAATGTCTTCAACCTTAAAGCCTGAACCGCGCGTAGTGCAATGTGTGAACGGCCCATCCAGTCATCTGCTTGCAGTCGATACTTTTCACGCATAGACGCCACAACCTTTGGATGACATTATCTCTTCTGGAGTACTATGATCACCACAGCGCAATCAGGGACGGGCTGTTTCATCCAGCACAACTAGTGCGTAATCAAGAGGGAGTGGTTGAAAATGACCAAAAATGTGTAACACAGTTTACGGACGGTCCCCGACAGCGGCTCGGCGGCTCTAACAGGTCCCTGGGCGATGAAGGCCAGGAGCATCCCTCAGTAGTCCGTTGGCGGGGAGGAATACATTCGCCTTGGCAGCATCTTGTTCTTATGATGTACTCAAAAATGAAATAATCCAATGAATGCCTTGCATTCACTTCAACCCAGTAGACCAGAAAATTAACCTACAGGTCCACAACCAAGGCATTACCGTGTTGCCCAATCACTTGGCACTGTGTTGACACTAAGCATGTGCCGCCGCACGGTCCCACTGCTGTCACCAAACGTCCAGACGCCATTCACCAGCATGTGCCGCTACACGGTCCCACTGCTGCCACCAAACGTCCAGACGCCACTCACCAGCATGTGCCGCTGCACGGTCCCACTGCTGCCACCAAACGTCCAGGCGCCACTCACCAGCATGTGCTCTTTGATGACAGGGCCCTTCTCAATCTGAGCACGTGAACCCTGCAGTTTGGTGATGGCGTTGAGGTAGATGGCCATCCACTTGTGGCAGTTTGGATGGTGGTTATCCAGCGCCATGGCACGCTCCACGGTGGTCAGGCCTTCCTGCAGGCGCTGCAGCTTGGCCGCATCCGTCGGCAGCGGCTTGTGCTGCTCGTAAATGGCACGCGCCAGCCGCCACAGCAGCTCCACGTCCTCTCCTTCCTGGGCGCATGCGCGTAGCGTCACCGCCAGGGGCGCGGAAATGGAGCAACAGCCGGGCGTCGGAGGTCGCCGGGACAGCGCGTCGAGATAGGCCGGCTTTTGGAACTAGCGCAGGAAACTGCATACACCAATAGGCAGAAACACCATGATCATGATCTGTGACACCCGGCAGGCAGTTGCGTGGTGTTGGGTTGATGATAACAAATTTCGCAGAGTGTGAAATGCCTGGTCACTGAAAAGGAACACCCAAATAGCGGAGTTGTGCATATTTGTCAGGTCGTGAGTGTTTACCAACTTGCCTTTGCTGGCTGCAGGACTTCCACAATCTTGTCGTACTCCATTTGCTCGTAGAACTCATCAGCCTGCTTCTTGAGATCATCGTTATTCGCCATCTTAACAGCTTTTACCAAGGCCAACCCAGACAGTGCCGATGCAGTAGGGATCTGACGAGCGGAGATGATTATTACAAATGGCTTGGATAAATCATGAAGCTGAACATTGCCCACATTCGAAAGGATTGACTGGGCTTTCCAAAAAAAAAACTTTCAGAGAAGTACACACGTTGGTTGCAGTATGATTTCTTCATGGGCTTAAACGCCACTTGGCCAGTGGGGTGGCAGGCTTCCGAGAGTTTTAATAAAGTGTCATGCATGTATGAATGCATCTAAATAGTCTGCGCATATTCGCGGGGATGTAGCCCAAAAACTAGAAGGTTTAAGGTCTTACGAAGGGCGGGACCGTAAACTACGCCGAAAGATCTTCAAAATGACTATTTCAGTTCAAAGCCATCTGTGTGGAAATGTGGAAAACGTGGAAACAAATGTGGAAAACTCCCGTTACCACTAACCGCACTCAAGGCGTCTGAAAACTGGAACCGTTCAGCCGGTGCCTAGCCGAGCCTTCTGTCATCGCACCACATTGTCCCGGGCCAGCCGGCACTCAGCGACGCACAATGTTCTCGTGCGTGCCGTCACCAATAACTCCCCCGTCACACTCCCCTGGAGCATTGCTCGCACACGGCACAAGAAAACACGGCCAATTAGTCCGAGACACCCGCTGGTAGACCCAGGTATAAGCTGGAGTGAAAGAACACGCACAGCGATAATACAACGGAAAAGAGGACGATGGCGGGATTCTGAGGCTGCAGGCTGCCATTGTTTAAGCATTCGTTCCATGGATGAAATTTACATTCCGCGCGTACAAGATGACCGGGCCGGGCCCCAACCGAGCGCCAGCCGACGTCACCGAAAAGCTGACCAAACAGCCCTAATTGGGTGTTGCCGGCCGATATCACTCGCGTCGCCCTCCAAGGCCACCGGTGAGCGCGATGGGACAAACGGCGAAAAGAATGCACCAGGCAGGGGCTTGAAGCATAAAAGTAGACGTAAATTCGTTACACAGTCCGGCGTAGGCGGTACTGCTGAAGCGGCACTGGCAGCCGGCATTATGTTATTTCATTTTATGCCACTCGCTGGTGGCACGGCACACAGTAGGCCTGAAGATACTCTGCTGGGAATGACATGCACATATCTGACATTGCGAAGCATTACATCCGGTGAAATTCACCGTCGGGCACGTCATGGGTAAATGTTACAGAAGAACAGAAAGTGAACATTCCAAACGCGTCGGTGTTCCGACAAGTTCACCGTCACACCTCAAGACCGCGGCGAATGTCATGTGTGCAGATGGAACGCAATAACAGTCATTAACAGTACGCCCCGTTTCCTTGGACCCAAGGAACCGAGGGTACTGCCGAGTAGCATCTGCCCGTGGTGACCAATTCTACCGACGACGTTTTCGCGTGACACATGTGATGGTCTCCAGGCGCGTAACTCAGACAAATTGTTAAATTGCATTATTTGTTTCATTCAGCAGAGTTTATTAACTGGTGTAAGAATTGTGTGTGCACAAGATTTGGAAAGGGGTTTAAATAATCCTTTACAGTGATACACAGGTGTGCATGTCAACTGACTTCTAAAGCCTTCTTATGACATTAGCTCCCACCAAAACACATTTTTCTTGAGGTGGAGGTTCATAAAATACATTAAGTGTGAAAGAAGTAATCAAAATTGATTTCATGGCAAAAACATGCATCAAAACATTTCCCTATGTCACAATGGGGGGAGGGGGCCTGGAAGGAACCAAATATTCTCCCTAGTGAGCACAAACTGATGATTATAAGACCAATTTATCTGTGAAAACAGCCAAATTGGCTGTGGCCCCAGAAGCCAAATCATCAGTCAAGACTCTAGGAGTACTGCCATAGGTCCCTGATATGTGCCACAGCCATCAGCAGTGGACCAACTTTCCTCCATGACCCCAGAAACAAGCATTGGCTGAAACTCTGCCAGGGCCATCCATAGTTGTAACCCCATTGGGCATTTCATTGACCACAACCCTGCAACCACATCAATGACCATAAACCCTGGGACATTCATCAGCCACCCCTGACACAAGAGTACTGCCTCCTGTAATCCTGCTGGGAGTCATTGGCCAGGATACCAGCAATCTCTACTTTCCAAAAATATGGATATGCTACCTAGCATGCCGTTGTTAAGTAACTGACCATGAATGGGGGAGTCGCAAGGTCCAGCTGTAGCTGATTCCATAAGACCAGTATGCTGCTCATTGTTTGGAAAGGTTGTCTATTTTACATTAAGAGGATTGAGTCTGAAGAATATTTCCAGCTCAGTTATATCACAACATCAAGAAAATGCTTGTCCCAAATAATATGGTTTTCAACTCTTAACAAATCCTGACCAATTGACCAGCTATTAATTTTGCAATTTGATGTCAACCATAATCTGATGCAATACACAATTGTCACAATGGCAATAATAATTTCACAAACCCTCATACCAGGATACTGGCCCAACTCAAGGATGCTTTTGGGGCAAGCACAGCCCTTTTATTGAGATTCAGATCCCTTATTTGACACAGAAAAGTCCTACGCAATCAGTTACTTTTATCATTTGGATGTACAGCTTTCCAAGGCTGGTACATGCAATGCTTAAACATCAAAATAATTTAATTTGAGAATTGTTTTTTTTAATTTATTATTTATACCAGGTTTTTTCAAACTGGCACATGGATTGCTCAAATAGATTACTCTACTTGTAATGTTGAAGAAGTGCTGTGTGCAATTCAAATGACATGCAGATCATTGCACAGGTTGCTCATTGTTTCAATGGAAATGCCCAAATGTTTCCAGGGATTATGACATTGCATAGTTGGCTTTGACAAAAAGTGCTTTGAAACATTTTTCAAACAAAAACAAGCTGAGAATTCAGACCAATTCCCCTGGTCGAAGGTCGGCATACATTAACACAGGGTTCTCTGCACAAATATTTTGTAGGCATCCCAGGAAGTGGTTATTTTTCCAGACTGGTCCAGCGCCTACTTAATGCCCAACATAGGATCCTGACCAGTATGTAGCACACGCCCTTTAACTGGAAATTCAAGATGCTCTGCTGCATGTAAGCATAACTTTACTGCCTCATTCAGGCTCTGGAAAAAAACAGAAAAATGGCGTGGTACCGACATCAGAGTTGTTCGGTTTCTTCACACGTCCTCAGGCATTTGAGCCAACTCACCTGAAACGCAAATTGTCCGGAAGAACAGATTTTTCTCCCTGTCAGAACGATACCCAAAACTGCCGACCGAATCCAATGTCCTCCGGTCCTCGCGCCAACCGCACCAATTACCCTGAACATCACCCCGCCCCGACGGTCCGTGATTTCAGTATAATACGATGCCCAAGGTCGACTACAACTATTGGTAAGATAGCACGGCGACCTACAAGCTGCGCAAAGTTTCAAGTTGTGTTGTGTTAGCTGTCATCAAAAATGAAAAAATTTCAATAACATTGTTTTATTGAAATCCATAAGATTTTGATTTAGTAGATTTAGTTACATAAAACTTGTCATCTAACATCATTTAAAATTGTATCCACCAGGTTTCATATATATGTACAAGACTGTCCTGAAACCTTTATTGCTTCCTTGTTTGGCGCGGAGAATACAAAATATCAACTTAGACTGTTCGTAGCTGACATACAACGCAAAACGTTTGCAGAAATCGAATCAAATCTTCATTTGATTTGTTAGATACCATAATTTTTGCTTTTCATTGGGCCAATTCGGCTGATGTATAGATGACGTACTGGAACAGATGTGCGCTCGCGCTTGTTGATAAGGTACGTGATCCATTGGTGAAATTGCGTCGTTGTTAACCCTAGGGGAGTTGATGGGTGCGTGAGGGCAAAATTAGGGTGTGCTTATCAGTTTTTGCTTTAGAGGTGGGTAGATATGGCGCAGTATACCATGATGGTCAGATTGTGGTAGAGATTGGTCACGCTGAACCACGCAGTTGCACGCGTGAAGGCCATGCCTGGGCAATAACGCTGAATTTAACATTTTGGCGTTAAATTCATATTGGAGTATATTCACCCTAGCTTACTGTTTAAACGTCATCATTCCTTCAAACTTTGGCTCTATATGCTGAGATTAGTGGTAACTTTGTATCGAACTGAGCGTGCAATTTATGGCATAGGAGGGTGAAGTTGTTGTGATGTGTATTTTACAGTCTGGGCTTAAGTGTTTGCCACACACCATCAATTTTAGTACATTGGCAGTAAAGGTCCAAGAATTTATGATGTTTCAGAAACAATTGGTTTGTTCCCAGCACAGCTGCATTGTTAAATTGTTGTGATGAGCACTGGACATATAGAATCTGCCAGACCAGGCCCTGATAGCTGCATCAGTTATTCAGTCATGTCAGCATCTGAAGAACCATCAGTCAGGTGCCCCATGAGCAGCACCTATTGGTGTCTTTCAAGTCCTGTTTGACCATTTATTCCCAAACATTTATGTCCTTCCTCTCCTGTAATGTCTGGCAAAAGTGGTCTCAGAGCATTTTCAGCAAAAGCAGCTTGAAAATTGAGTGCAACTCAACTTGGCCTGAGTTTTATGCTCATGTGTGCCAGGTTCAGCACCAGGTTCAGCTTCTGGCTTCTCCTCCCCCCCCCCCCCCCCCCCCCAATGGAGCATGGTGGGAATACTTTAGGAGCTCCTCATTTTAATAATATAAAGCTTCTTTTGTAATGGAAGCTCACATGTTTTAACATATCAAGGTAGGTTAAAACATGAGTATCAATATGACTAGATCATGATCTTTTATGCCTTTATATGGCAAATGTTACATATATGTACATGGGTTGTTGGATCTGCACAACTACAAGTTCAGTGGTAATGAGCTTCTTGATCAGTTACTATTAACTAACCATAGGGGATACTGAACAAAACATGTGCCTTCACTCTACAACACCACAGTTATCAGAAGTATGTTTGTCATGATGATGACCATATTATCATGCCACATACCATGCATGCCTCCCTACAATTCAGGGCATCTAAAACCACTCTGAAATGTCATATATCAGAGACATGGTTGCATGTATGTGTTGACATTTACACTGCTCTCCAACATAAATGGTTATTCTGAGTGTCAGGTCAGACACATGGAGTAGCCATTATAGCTGTGAATACCCATGACAGTGTATTATCTTGTTTCAGGTAAATCACACTCAGTTAATATGCTGGTGTATAAATCAGCTTTGCTGGCTGCTGGTATTTGTCTGCTGGCAATCCTGCAGGGCTGTGCAGCTGATGACGGTGACAAAGGTGAGCTGATTGATGAGCATCAGATGTAGACTTTTAGCTGAGATTTTTTGTTGGGAGGTGCCTACCATGCTATCATTCTATAGAGATCATACCACTTTTATGCAGGTGTGCCTGCTCAAAGAGCAGCTAAGATGGTGAGACAGGGTAATATCAATGTTCTTAAAAGAGTGTTTCACATTTGAAGATATTGAAGCAAGCATCAGGCATGATGAAACAAGCCTACTCATAACTATTGGTATCTTTTTAAGTTAAAAAGGCTGCTCTAGGTAGCACAATTCTGTATTAAGCAACTATGCTCCTCAATATGTCATAGAGTGATTATGTGATCATACCTTGCACAACATTGATTGAGAGCCAATTGGCAGCTGTTATATCTGGAAATAGTGTCCATGGATGCCAGATATGAATGCCTTCACAACTGTAGTCTTCTTTGCATTGATTGCTACATGGCTTAAAGAATGGCAGGATTTGGATGGTATTACTATGGTATCATGTATAAAATCATGTATGCCAGGTGGGTTTTGTAATACTCTCTGAAATCCCCCCCCCCCCCATATTCATGTGCATGTAGCTCAGAAACTAGAGTGGCTTAGTTCTTGACAAGGGCAGGGTTGTGAGCAGCACCAAAAGGTCTCTAAGGTGGCTTTTTCAGCTCAAAACACCATATATCTGTGGAACAATCCCTTTTAGAAGTTATTGGAAGCTGGTGTTTTTTTCTGAAGGTCACCACTGCTGCCCTTCGCTTGAATCCCAAACAATGGTGATACAGTTCTGTGGAGCTCCAGTACATTAATGCTTATCTGGGTTCAAACAGGCATGGGTGTGACTCTGGCAGGGCTCAGGTGCCAGATCATGATGTTTTAATTAAATCAAGCAAACAATGACCTGATGATGGTCCAGCGACCTGTGAGGTGGTTGAACTGCTTATGATCGCTTCCTTTAATCATGACAAGATTTGTTCGTGGGCAGTTGAAGGTGAACACATGCCTAAAGCGCATGGTCTCTCAGTTACGTGATAATGTGCTTTTATGGGATTTTGACGCATTCTTGTGTCTTTTGTAAGATGTGATCCTTAGAAATTTCTGTTAGTGACAACCACTATCATTTAAGTTGTATTTATCAATGTCTGATGTGTTGCTGAACCCATTGCCTGCAGGATTTTTTCAAACGTTTTGTGCGTTTCAGCCAAGTGCGCGGCGCAAACAGGAAAGGACTGTCACTCCTGTCTGCAATATGCTCAGGTGAGGAGTGCTTCCTCAATGTCATGGGGTCCTGTCACATGTGGCTTACTGGGTGCATTCATGTATTTTATATGCAAAGTGGCTTGTGTTAAAAAGTGTGTTTGCCCATGGTGTCGCAGCTTTTAACCAGGCTTTTGTGTTCCAGTTTTCCCCATGAACTATTATTTATCACACTCACATTCCCAATGTTCAGATACTGACAATTTTCATGAAGTCGTGTCAGTGCGGTGTCACCAAAAATGTCTTATGGATTGCTTGCTCCAGTGTTACTACTGCACAGCAACCAAGAAGTGCACCTTCTACCCACTGAAGTCGATCATCCCAAAGTCAGATGTCTGCTCGCTGCCGGACATACGCTGGGGCACGTGCTGGGGTAAGTGATATTGCAATCGTCAGTGCATCCACCAAGAGTTATCAGACAGAATGGTTCACCGATGCTTTGCATGCAAGGGAATTGCGAGGGATGCATTCAGTATTATCTGTTTAATAACCCAGGCGTGATCGAGTGTTTCCCATTTCCCTGTGTAGCCATGCCCGCCCTGATCAGCTGCATGTGCTGAAGTTTGCCGGAGTTCCCCGGCGGACTCGTGACGTGCTGATTGTGCACCGCTTCAGTGAACTTCCTGGCGCTAATCATCAGCGTGGTTGGCATTGTTCTGCTCTTCATCGTCGCCGTCTCCTGCTGGTGCCACTGCTGGTGCAAGAAGAGGCGAGTTCGCAGGTATGTCGACGATGGCGGTGCGGGGCGCGACTCCAGCGCGATGGCAAACGCGGTCCAGGCGCAGTACGGCGGGCGGCTAGCGCGCTGTCGACGTCCGTTTGGGCTCTGCCGGATATATCACCCGATTTGCTTTGCTCGCGTAAGGCAGAGGTGTTTCGTGCGAGAAAATTGGATGTCAACCTGCGGGTTAGCACGCTAGATGTCCAAAATCGAATGTGGGGAGACCTCGGGTGACGTTCCTGCTTTTCGTCGTTTTGCAAGCGTTTTTGGACGTGTTTTCTGTTAAAACGCCAGGTTTTTACTTTTTTTGTAGCGCAAAAACCGGTTCGGCGAATGCGCGGCGTGGCCTCAGTCTTGCATATGCTTCTTTTAATGCGCAGTGACTTATCAATACAATGAAAACTGGCTCAGTGGAATTCCCAGGTCAAAAATCTTGGACGCACGGCGGTCAGGTGATTTGTGGCGCAGTGGTTAGGAAAAACCAGTGTGGTAAACTTTAGCCAGTTTGGGCGTCAAGGATATCGACATTTTCATGTTCTTGCACACGTACCTCGGGCTCCACCTTAGAGTCTTCGTTGCCCTTCTCATCGGCTGGGGCCAACCAATCAGCATGGAGCCGGATGGCGGTCAGCCGGGTGTGTACGCGCCTCCGGCAGGGCAAATCGGGCGGGCAGCTCAGATGGTGAGGGTTGGGGTCAAAGGGCAACGCTTTATCAGCAAAGCAAGCATGGTGGAGGCGGAGACGGTGGAGGAGACAGAGGTCCAAGAGCATGAATTGATATTGGCCTCCCTGGCACCCGATTAGGTGAATTTTGCCACTTCTAAAAAAATACCGTAGATTTTTAAAAAATAGCTGTGCTGCTGCTACGTAGCCTGGCTGCTGATCTGGCCCATACGTCCCAGTCATAAACTTTCTATGCAAGGGAACGTGCGCCCTTGCAGGAACTAGCGACCATTTTAGACGCAGTTTATTCTGGCGCAGAGGATGCGTCAGTGTATCTTTCTATGCCTGACATCTGTGTACGGGAGTGGGCTCTGGACCTTCTCAGCGCCCGGTTATACAAGTTAGCATTACGAGATCCTTTGAGAAGAAGCGCACAATCACGTAAGCAACCCCATCCCCATCGTAGCAGGTCATTGGATAGGATCATACCGATGTCAAGCGAACAGATATTTAACCAGTCGCACACCATTTTCAAACTACCAGAGGCCGTAAGAAAAAATCACGTTAAGTCGTGCGAATGAGAAGTGTTCGGGTACGTTCTTCGCATTCTTCGGCTGATTGTTATATTCATGAGGTGGCAGTTTCTAGTTAAATGCTGTGTGTGTTACTATTTTCAGTTAAGTCTTAAGCCCGTCAGCCTCGCCGATCTGGCCAGCTTCCGCAGTGCCGAGGTCGGTGTGCGACTCCCGCCGATTTCACTCTCGATGCGGGGTACAAACTGCGAGCAGCCGGGCGTTAGCCCCGCACGCGGTCTGCTGCTTAACAGCGGCCATTCTGCTTTACTGCTGGAGTTGATCTGGCCTGTCGGGTCAAATGACGTCAAATCACGTCCACGCCGTCTGCATGTAATTTGGCGTGTCGTTAAGATAATGTTGGTTTCGTTTGAGCATCGTGCATGATTATCGTAACTACGAAGGGGTAATCTGGAGTAATTTCGTGGTATTCTATGACGTTGCGCTTGGATGGCTTTGTGGTCAGTTATCGTGAATAAAAAGGACGTCAGCATACTGTAAATGTTCACGTGCATTGCATCAACGTTTTTCAAAACGATCTTGCGTGATAGCGGCCCTGAACGCCATGGGCAACTCGTGCGTGTTTACTTTAAACGTTTTGGTTGAAGGCATACATTTTTGTGGGATGCATTCAGATCAGCGCGAATATGTAACCTGATGTAGCTTTCACCTTGATGAACATTGGTGGCGTTCGCAGCATTTATTATCTGACCAATTCACAGTTTCAGAACAAGTAGCCAAACGGTTTTGTGCGCGCAGGGTCTGGAATGTTGTGAGGCGTCGATTTTCAAATGTTCGTCTTGCGCGTCTTAGGGAACGGGGGAACATGTCGATGGGTTTGACCTATGAGGCACATGAAATTTGCATGTCATGTTCAACAAAGGTCGGAAATTCAGTTCGCCCAGATTTGATCATAACGCAAAGAAGATTGCAGGATAGTCCCGCAGAAATGTTGGGGTTGAGTTGCACCAGCCCAAGGTTCTGACGTTTTTAACGTTTGGCCAGAATCTTTTGATTAGATGGGTTACTGGGATGGGAGCCCACGCCAAGCAGTGCTCATTGCGTGAGTCCAGACCACGCCGTCCGATCGTGAGGCCCCAGATGAACGGCAGAGTTTTTCTGTCGACACAGTCCGCCCTGCCCTCTGACGTCACGGCCCTTAACTCGGCCGCTGCCACCGGCAGTGAGACATCTCAGTTGAGGGCAAATGGCGAGCGCTTCAAACGATTAAAGCCTATCCCCACCACGGGTGGGTGAGTACGAACACAGGCGCCCTAACGAACCAGGCTGCCGGTCGTCCGTCCCGGCAGTTCTGCGGGTCAATGTGCTCGTTTGGGACTATTAGCAAGAAAGCCTTGACCACCTGTAGCTGTTTTTCCTGGTTCTTCGGTTCCCGTGCCTAAGCGTGGGCATAAGAGTGCGAGGTGTCACACAAGTGACACGAGGTGCCTCCTCGTCACAAGTGACATGAGGTGCCTCCTCGTGTCGCTTGCGACGTGAATGCACCTCACCTTTGGTGAGATTGCACCTCCTTCTGCTGTGACGTGAGCGCACCTCCTCGTGGCATGACGTAAGTGGACCTCCTCGTGTTGCGACGTTATTGCGCCTCTTCATGTCTGAGGGGAGGGAAAATCCTTGTGTCATTGTTGTACTGGAGCGCAACTTTTCATGTCACTTGGGACGGGAATGCACCTCTTCTTGTCTCATGTGGATTGAGCGCTCCTCCACACGTGTGACTGAAGCGCACATTTACCCGCGTGACTGGAGCGCTCCTCCGCACGCGTGACTGGAGCGCTCCTCCACGTGTGTGACTGGAGCGCTGTTCCACACGTGTGAGTGGAGCGCTGCTCCACACGTGTGACCGGAGCGCACCTCCACACCCGTGACTGGAGCGCTCCTCCGCGTGTGTGACTGGAGCGCTGTTCTACACGTGTGAGTGGAGCGCTGCTCCACACGTGTGACCGGAGCGCACCTCCACACCCGTGACTGGAGCGCTCCTCCGCACGCATGACTGGAGCGCTCCTCTACACGTGTGACTGGAGCGCTCCTCCACACGTGTGACCGGAGCGCACCTCCACACGCGTGACTGAGGCGCACCTCCTCCCGCGTGACGAGAGCGCATGTGTCTGACAGCGTGGAGCGGGACGAGCGCCAGTTCGCCAGCGAGCGTGCGGCGCGCGCTGAGGTCCAGGCGGAGCGGCGCGCCGAGAGGCAGAGCCGCACCGACGCCATCCGACAGAAATACGGTGAGTGGCTGCCACGCTGGCCACGTCCGCCGGCCGGTCGCTGGGGGTTGCTAGTGGTCGGGGTGGCGAGGGTGGCCCGGGTGACGAGGTGCGGCTGCGGAGTGTCGCGCTGTCTGGCGTTCCTTGAGTCACGCGGGGGAAGTGGTCCGTGGCAGCTTTCTCGTCCGCGCTTGTCAGTCAGCTTGTATGGCGTTATCCGTTGTCTACAATGCCTGCTTACGGTCGTGTTTGTTGGCTATGTTTTGCTAAACCCTGGTTTCAGATGTTCTCAGGTCTCTGTATGTGTGTGACAACGTATCGTCCAAAAATATATTCAGCATTGAGTTCACTGAGACAGTGCCGGCAATGCGGAAGTGGCTGTACGGAGTCATAGTTCTGCGGGCGCTTTACCAGTACCTGGGCATGTTTGCCGCTACGGTAATCATAAAATCCGGTATCAGTGCCGGTGTTAACATAACCCTCCGGCTCTTACCAGGTGATCTAGCCCCGTGCCAGCGTCAGTGCCAGGCCAAACCGCTGTTGCACTGGGTGTTTCGTATTAGCTGCAAATTTATCGCACGGTTGAGGTCGTCCAATTTTGGTTAAGCGGAATAATGTTTTGCGCTTGCAATACATACACAATTTGATATTAATGGTTAGAAAGCCAGCTTACAGGGCGAAGGCAACGTCGGCGAGTGAGGCCGATTATTTTAGGGATGGTGGAGCGGGGCCTGTAGATAACCCTAATTGACGGCGAAGCTGCGGTCCTGATGGTGAGTTAGGTGTAAAGCCAGGTTGTCCCTTTGTTGTCCGCAACCGCCTTGACATCCCGTTCTTAAGTACAGGGATCCGCCTCCACTGTCTGCTGATGCAGTCCAGGACACTCGACTGGCCCGTGAACTATTTGTCCGTCTGCGGGGTTTTGGTCGGGTGTATATTTGTCCGTCTGCGAGGTTTTTGGTCGGGTGTGTCTCCGGCTTCATCTGGCGACTCCAGCGCGCTGTCACGTCCGTCCGTCCGCCGTTCACGTGTTGATGGTCATGTCTCGTGGCCACGGGCCGCGCCACACTGGACGTGCTGTCCTCCTCGCCAGGTCTGCCGAGCCCCACCGGCGAGCCGCCATACCAGCCCCTGTGAGCGTCTGGCCGCCGCAGTTCGCCGGCAGATCGTCCTGCCATCTGTTGGCGCCCTCGTCACACAAGCCGGTCGCCGCTACCATCTGCCGGGTTCCGTGTGCAGCGATTCCGTCAGTGCCGATCTGTTTGTTGCTGGGAAGGTGCCTTCGTGGAGCGTGCTGTACGTGACCCGCGCTTTTGTGCTGTGAGCTACGCTGCTGGTCTGTGATCAACACTTCCGCCTCGTGATATATTGCCGATGACCTGTTTTGTACCTTTTAGCGATAAGTATACAGTTTTTGCTTGAAGTTCTACCGATGTTCAGAGAAGAGGCATATCGTTCATGATTGTGGTCTCGTGCTGAAATGGTTGTGAAATCTAGGTACGCTTTTCATTTGCCATGTATGGGCCCCATACGCCGAAGACTGGACGTTTCGCTTCAGGGATGAAATCACATGTTCCTCATAAAGCAATGTTTTAAAGCATTAGATGGCGAATATCAGGTGTAGTGAAATATATTTCTGTGTTTTATGAGTGTTGTGATAAGTTGCGTTTCGGTAAACTGTTGAAATCTGCTCGCATTGTGCAGTACATCATCTCTGGTAATTATGTTGAATAGATGCACCGAATTTTCGTCGTAGCGTATCTAATAAAGATTGTGCATGTATCCAGCTTTCCTGACGCAATGAGCGTGACATTTTATACAACCATTTATTCCATTGTGTTGAACCAAGCTAAAATTTCGCATGCGTGGGGCTGTGTTATTTTACGTGCGGTTTCACATTTAAATTAACCCAGTATCCGTGCCACCAGACCGAAGCGCAGGTAGGAATAATATAGGGGAAGTATAAAGATATGATGCCCTCTTGTAATTTCGCAGCGGTCAAAACATTTTAAAGGGAATGTTCGACATTTGAAGGTGTTGAACGAAGTATCAGATATGATGAAATATGCTCACTTATAACTACTGGTATATTTTTAGTGGAAAAGACTGCTCTAACCACCACAACGTCTCCCTTTAGCAAATATGGTCCTCAAAACGTCATTGATTGCATAATCGTGCCTTGTACGACATTGATCGAGAGCCAGCTCGCGGCTGTTGCATTTGGACATTGTGCTCACAAACGCATGGTACGAACGGCTCCACAGTGCGATCTTTCTAGGCATTGATCGTCGCATGGCCAGTGAAAAAGCAGGATGTGAATGGTGTTATGGGGTCATGGGTGCTCGGGCTACCCGGAAATGGACTGCACACATTCGCGCACGTGTAGCTGAGAAACTAGAGGGGCTCAAGCCTGACGGAGTAGAGGGCTGTGAACTGCACAAAATGATCTTCCAGATGGTGGCTATTTTAGTTCAAAACCCCATGGAAGTATGGGACCATCCATTCAAGTTGGATTCGCCCATCAGTAGTAGTATGTTGTGTTCTCGATACTGAATATAGCTGCCTTGGCCATTTCCAAAGTTTGCGAGGTCAATTTCTTAGACGAATATTGGATCCACAAGCATTAGTGTTTCACCGCTGCAGGTCCTGGTGTCTTAGCCTCTTAATGTCCCATTTTAAGCAGAGGTTCGAGAGGAAAACCTGACCCGACGTACTTCGTTAACTACCCGATTTATTTGCACTCATTAACAACTTCTGCCGCACTTCTTGGGAGAAAACGCGTGCAGCGCGAGGCCGTGCGCCGGCTTCCACAGGCCCTGGTCGTGGCGCTCCAGCGTGTCCTCCACTCACGAGATCGGGCTGTCACGATGACGCTCCAGTTCGTGCTCGCGCGGGTCAGGGGGACGGCGTTGGGGTCAGGGGTGTCACGCTCTCGTGCGACCGCGTTGTGCGCCGGGATCACGGCAGCTGACCTCCGGGTGACTGTCCCGGATGTGATGGGAGGGCGGAGTGGCGGCCGTTTCTAAGCGAGTACCGGTCAAGCGGAGGGGGCTGCTGCGGATCGCGTGCGTGCTGTGCCTGTTGAGCACCGTCGACAGCTCGGCGTTCGGACCATCGACCTGCTGAACTCTTGTAGCTGTTAATGGATCCCGAAGATGGTGAGGTCGTGTGCAACCGGGCTGGTTACATGTTCATTTTACGCTTACGCACCCAATGGTTACGTAGTGAAAATTCTAACAGCTGTGCAGCTTAACCAGCGCACTTCCTAAAAGAAGTGGCGGGGACCGGGTACTCCCCGCCGCACGTACTGCACGTGTCACCTCATGGATCACTAGAACGACGTGAGGTCAGTGGAGTGAATGACGCTTGAAAGTGTTCGTTCAACCTACGCTGACGTCAGTGTCATTCTCAGGACTCCCGGGAGGCAGAAAAACGGCCGGCAAGAGCAACTACGAGAGGCTGCCGTGATGTGGATGGCCCCGGCGTTTGGTGCTCTCCGGAGTGTGGCACGCGAGCAGGCCCTCCGGAGGGGCCATGGCCAGCCGGATGCTCGTCTGGCAGGGCAACCCAGGCACCAAACCAAAGCTCGCCCAAACTTGGCTGGCTTCTGTTTGGCCCCATGATATGTATGTTAAGCATTCACTGTAGATTAGCCCTTCTTTTTCCAGTAGCTATCATGAACAGTGCAAGGTGTTTGCATGGATCGTTTATATTAAGCTAGATGAGCAGATGCGAAAGTGCAGGGGCAGCGCCATCGAAAATTTCGAACAGGGGCAAGCAGAGCTAGGGGCGTCGCGAAGGAGATTTGGAGGTCTTTTTCTTATATATATATATATATATATATATATATATAACATATATTAGGATTACATATAAGATATTGTGCCTCTCGCGTCTCCTCTCGCTATGCTTCTCTCTGCGATCTCTCTCGCTCCTATCTCTCCTCCTCTCCGAGAGCTTACGCTCTCAGATAGCTCGATCTGCGCTAGCTCTAGCTCGCTCTTCGCTCTAGCTCTATCTCTCTACTCTCTATCTCTCTCTCCCTCTCTCTCTCTCTATCTTCGCTCTCTCTTCTCCTCTCTCTCTCTCTTCTCTCTCTCTCTCTCTCTCTCTCTCTCTCTCTCTCTCTCTCTCTCTCTCTCATCATCGTATGTCTTCTGTGTATATAATTAAATTAAACCCCCTCTCTTGGGCTGCTGGGCCTCCTTTTCCTTTCATGGGCCTCCTGTGATCTGATGTGGCCTTTGGATCAACTGGGGTCTAGCATCGACCAATAGGTCCCGGTGTTGGTCTGTAAGTCCTCGTACATGGCAAATACCGTATGTAAATATTTGTGCTTAAGGGACCTGTTGGACTTGATGAAATGTTATGCCTCGTTCGTATGGGGCCTCATGTGACCTTTAGTGGGAAAAGGATTGGATCATCGCTAGCCGGTGTTATCGATGCGTACGTAGTGTCTCAGAGGCTTGCTCAGGAACCACGAATATCCCCGATTTCGCTGATGGAATACTTGTGAGCAACTAATTGGGAGTTGAGATGAACGGGTGGTGGTTAATGTTTACTTAGCTTGGTTGCAAATACCTGCGAGATTTTCCGTCTATAATGATTATATATATATATATATATATATATATATATATATATATATATATATTTATATATGTGTGTGTGTATATAATATATAAATTTACAAGTGCCAAAAGAGGACATCAATAGATCCTCCTGTAGAAAGTTAGGCCCCAAAATGTCGTCCCCGGTTGTGCGAGGCCTCCGGACCTGCTTACGACGTCTGGGACGGATGTTGTGCAGTGGCGTGCTGCATAATACCGAGAGAGCCGATGGCATGTGTCTTTTGGTGAATGATGCAGAAAATACACTGATCATAGAGTGTCCCGTTTTTGTGCCTAGTGATAACTGCTGTCCGCAATCCGTTGAAAATAAACGAGATTTCAATAAGCATTGTATAAATATCCAAGCATTCGCATCATCTCCTAGCCTTGATTCCTATCGAAGTGAGCCATTCTGTAGCGCACATGTGACATACCCGGCGCAGATTGAATCAGCTGTTTGCAGAGTATTATTGTGCTGGTGCAGGTCGGCGGATGGAAACAAGTGTTGGGGCGGTAGTGTTGCGTCCTCTGTTTTCTCAAGCCAGCGATAATGACGGGAATTTCTAGCAAAGGGATTGACAATGGTGCGTATGATGATAATGGTACGAGTGGTCTCCGGTAAAAGAATGCTCACTTGGCTATAGATGAGTCAGGGGTCGGTGGGGAGTGAAAAATCAATATAATGCTGGACATGGAGGAATACAAACCGTGTATCATTACCTTTTTGCTATTTGCTGTCACATGATTCTGCGTTTCTGTGGTTAAAATGTTATTTTATGAGGCTTCATGGAGCCTACCCAGCTTCTGCCTGAATGTCTAGGAGCTGAATCCCTGAGTTTCAGTGTGTAATATTTAGGCCACCTTTGTAGGTGATGCCTTTCCATCAGCATATGTGTCTGTTATTGATAACCCATTCCACACTTAAAGTATTAAACTTGTATTGAAGGTAAGTTTATGTCTGCTGTGTTAATTCAGGGTAGTGAAAATATATTTTGCATCAGGCAGATTTGGGCAGTGGTATGGGTGTCTCTGATACAAGGGGCCATGAGACATTGTCAGCAAACTTGTGGAGCCTCAATGATACTCATCAGGTAGAATTGATACTTGCTACTTCTGGCAGCCTCATTGCCACAATGTCTTGTCAGAACCTGGCTGCAGCTATCAATTTGTATGCTGGTTAGTGATTTCATAACCCTGCATGTATTTTTGTTTTGATGGCTTAAAGCTGTGCTACACATTACTTGAACAATGACAAAAATGTTAAGATTGAAGCATGCATGAAACACATTATTTATTTTCCAGATCCAGCACCACGTGAGAAGACGATGTCTCTCCTAGGCTTTGAAAGCTTGAGCCCATTTTATGTATTCCTGGTTCTACTGAGGTTTTTGTTATGTATCATTCAAACTGGATATATTCATCCAGATGAATTTTTCCAGTCACTGGAACCAGTTGCTGGTAAGTGTTGTCCTAATTATGGGGTCATTCAGAGTAATGGTATACAGGTATATAATCCTGATAATATTGTCATTTAGTGGCAGTCAGAAACATATTATCATATATCAGGTAATTACAGGCTGCTTCTTAAAGGTCAGACAGATGGTAAAGATGGGATATTGATTTCTTACTGTATTGTTATTAATACTCTACTTTTGCACTCATGCTCATTAACATTGTTAGGCACAGAGAGAACAACTAAAGAAATGGGGTCACCAGAACCCATTTTGAAGTTCTTGTTTTTGGTGTGTGACCATGTGGTTCATGTGCATAATTTTTGGAAGTTGTAGTACCATGGCACCCACAGACTCCCCACCATTCCCATGCCTAATACACCTTGAATTTGTTAGAGCAACTCTGCCACAAATGGCACACCAGTGCTCACCCTCCCCACTGTCCTCACCTCACCCTCATCCCACCTACATCCCGCAAACCCAATCACAAAATGCACAAAGTCCCTGGCTAGAAGACTCCAGATTCTACCCCCCCTCCCCCTACAGGTGCATGATCTCTATCTGGTGCTCCTTGGCATCTGTGTGGAGTGCCACTCACATCAGCATCTGGTGGCTGGCCTGTGACGCGATGTGCCCGGCAGGCGCGCTGCTTTCGGTGAACGTGACGGTGCCGTGGGAGTTCTCGTCGCGGCTGCCGATCCGCAGCTGGTCGTCGCTGCTGCTGACGTCCGGGCTGCCCGTGCTGCTGACGCGGCCGGCCAGCGCCGAGCTGCTGCTGGCCGCGCCGCGCCTCTGGATGGCGCTGATCTCGCTCGCCGTCGACGCCAGCGTGGCGGCCAGCGCGCGCCTGCTGGGTCACCGGCCGCGCCGCTACCTGGAGACGCTCGCCGCGAGCCACGTGCTGCTCGTGTTCGCTACGCGCACCTTTTCCAACGCGCTGGAGCTGGCGCTGTTCGCAGTGCTTCTGCACGTGACGCTGCGCTGCCTGGCGGACTCTGGCCGTGCCGCCGAGGCCGAACGCCGCCTACAGAAGCGGCTGGGCGGCTCGCAGTACACCGTGCATCGGCTGCAGCTGGCCGAGGCGCGCCAGGAGGTACACCGCGCCGCCACGCGCGACTGCGCCACCGTCAGCACGCTCCTCTGTGTGGGCGTGTTCGTGCGGCCGACGTTCGTGCTGTTCGCGGCAGCGCCGCTGCTCTACTGGCTCTTCCGCGACGCCAACGATGAGCGCGATAATCTGGTGCGGATGCGGCTGGTGCGCGTCCTCCCGCTGTCCCTGCTCGGCGTCGGTGCCATTGTGCTGATGGACTCGATGCTGTATGGCTGGGTGACGTTCGCCGAGATCATCGAGGGCAACGCCTCGCTCGACAACGTCGTGATGACGCCGTTCAACTTCATCGTATACAACATCAAGGCGAAGAACCTGGCCGACCACGGCGACCACTGGTGCCTGACGCACACGCTCGTCAACATTCCCATCCTCTTCAGCAGCCTCGGCCTCATCGGACTGGCCTCGTTCGCGCAGCACGTCAAGTCCTTCGTGCGTCATCTGCTCAACCTCGACCTGCACGTGTCGACGGCCAGCGCCTTCCTTTCGGCCAGCTTCATCGTGCCGCTGCTGCTGCTCTCGTGGTTCCCGCACCAGGAGCCGCGCTTCCTGCTGCCGCTGCTGGTGCCGCTGACACTGCTGTTTGCCGAGCGGCTGGACGGCGGTCCGGGCCGGTGGCGCCGCTCTCGGCAGTGTCTCGTCACCATGTTTTACGCCTGGAACGCCGCGTGCGTGCTGCTGTTCGGCTTCGCGCACCAGGGCGGCGTCACGCGCGCGCTGGCCGACCTGCAGCGGCGCGTGCCGCCGCAGGGTGCCACCATCGTCTTCAGCCACACCTACATGCCGCCGCAAGCGCTGCTGCTGCGCCGCAAGCGTGACGTGCACGTGCACGACCTGGGCGGTCAGCCTCTGGGTGACGTGACGCGCCTGCTGCGTGACGCCACCTACCGGCAGCGCGTGCCCACGTTCCTCGTGCTGCCGGCGCCACTGGAGGACAGGCTGGGCGCGCTGGCCGACGGCGAGTTCGAGCTGCGCCCGCTGCGCCGCTTCTGGCCGCACCTGAGCTCGGAGACGCCGCCGGCGCTCGGCCAGCTGGCGCACGGCTGCCGGCGCGACGCCGTCGTCCAGAGCCTTGCCTGCCTGACGGCCGCCATCAGCCGGCAGATGAACCTGGTGCTGATGCAGGTGACGCGCCGCAGCCGAGCGCGCGGCTAGCGACGGCGAGCCGCGGTGGGCCCGGCCTGTTGGGATGCGAAGCGGCGGGGATCAGACAGCGCTGAGGCGAAGGTGCTTGCGGTACGTCTCGGGACGTGTTCGTTCATTCCACTGATCTCACTTGTTTGTGATTACCCGAAAGTCAGTTCTCCAGCTTAATGCTGAGTCTAGTCAAGCGGTTTGAAGCACGCTCGGAGTGGGGCACCGGTATGTTATGATCGGACGCGTCACTTTCTCCTCGTCCACGCTGCGGCACTCCCACCACGCACGCTGCTGCAGTATGCGCTCCCACATAGCCCTGTAAAAGAACACTACTTAAAATGCTGTGTATTACTACGTAGGTATTTATTGGATTATTGCGGTCGGAATAGTACACCGGTAAATACATGTAAGGAGCACTTCACCGATTTTTCGCCTCGTCATCATCCAGACCCGGTTTTGTAACATGAAGCAGAGCTCATCCTATTGGGTCAGATTTTGGAGTCACGATATGATCAGCACGGTCTCTGAATAACTACATGCTGAGTGTGTTGCTGTTGCGTGTTTATTAGTTTCCATAACGTAAAGGTACCAATCCAAGCGCAACCAATATAGCGTAGGCACCAATGAAGCGTCCAAGCGTGGACCGAGCGCCATCACGCCAGAGGGGTGTCCATGGTGACCGTTGGAAGGAGGGCGTGGTCAGCAGCGGACCCTGGTATAACACTGAATGACAAATAACTAAGACAGCCTGCTCCCATCCATCCACTTATCCAGTGCCCCAGTGTGAACATTAATTCGTCGTTTTGGCAACAGCGGCAGATGTCAAGTTATGTGTAGCAAAGGGCACAGAGGGGTCTGCGATGCCCGACTCCATGCGGGGTCTTTTTCAGTCCTCGTCGCTGTAATCTCCACATCAACCTTTTACAAAGACTAAATAAACCAGCAAATTAAGCTCATCCTGTGCGAGATATATCGTTTGCATCGATTATAAAAGTTTACGCTCATTGCGTTCCATAACAGTCCCTGCATTTGTGATCATAATTTAAAGGGTTCTGCGGTTGGTACCTTTGGAAAGGCTACCATGAAAACGGTTATGATGACCACCTTAGAATAATGAAAACATAGGCCTATCAACGGCTAAAATGAGACTGGTGTTGAGGGCGCAGGACCGTTTAGCACGCATGCTTTTCTCATTCTTAAAACGCGCGCCAGGGACAATCGCGGCAGCCGTCTTACGAGTGCGGATCCAGGGGGCCAAAGAGGCCGTGCCCTCCCTCCTCAAAGGTTGTGAAACCATTATTTGCCCCTCCCCCCCCCCCCAAAGAAATGAAACGGCTGGGCGTACGCTGTTACGCGCATGCTTCGTTGTGCTTCGAACAATAAATTGCGTAGGTTTCTCGTTTCACTATTGCTGGAGCAGTGAACTGTGTCTGCGGTCAACTCGAACCCGCAGCTGACAGTTGTGGGTCTAACATGAGTAGTTTATTGCTGGTGAATGGTTAACCCGTTACCGCACTGACATTTCGAGAAGTCACTTAACCCGCTATTCTGTTGGCTGGGCCCTCGAATGCCCCGTTAACTCCGCCATCACTCCCAGTCTGTCGGATACAGATAGTCCTACTCTCCGCACACAGCCGTTCAACACGCGACACAGCGACCTTAGACCGAGACGCCATCCCGGGTTCATGTCATATATGTGTATATGTATATACATGTATATGTATATATATATATATATATATATATATATATATATATATATATATATATATGGATGGATGGATATATAAGTATGTCTTGGTGTGGGTGTGGGAGCCACCAGGTGTTTTATATCGCATTCTACAAAAACGATTTGCCCGCCCCCCCCCCCCCACCTAAAAAATATAGCTCCGTCCCTGCCGTCATCCCTCAAAAACAATCCTGTAGATAAGGCAGTGCGAAATTTCTCAAATGCATGCTGAGGTGACATTTCCTGGCCATCTATGTAGAGCCAAACCGGACCAGTTTTAGAAGACCCGTCCCGGAGCTCACAATCAGCGACGCCCAGGTATTATATATTTTTTCTCTCGTCGAACTGCGGGCGGTCTCTGGGATCCGCTCAGTGGCGGGGCCTCGCTAGCAAACGGCGCGAGGGCCCGCCCGCGGCGCGGACAAATTACGTGACAAAATCAGGCGCGAGGAGAGGAATCCTGGCTGACTGCTCTGCGGTGGGAGGAGGGAGGGTTGAGGGGAACCACCCACGGCGTGGATCTGGGGTGGTGCGGCTACAGCACTGGACTTGGGTCGTGTGGACGACGCCGTCCAGCCGTGTTTCCCTTGCGGGCTGTGATGCTACATGAATGCCGTAGCACACGTTCCCATAGCTGGCGCTGATGTGTTACGGTGTCTGTTCCAAGTCACTACACTTCCCTTACAAACTGGGACAGGGAACATTTAGCTGGTCTGGGGAGACAGAGAAGCGAACTGGGTTTTACTGCGATGATTGCACAAACACGCATATTTCTGTCGCATGTTTTAAATGCTCACACATCACGGCACGCCCGTCCTGTGTCATGTGTGACGCCCGGGGTCAACAAAACCACTTTCCATCGATGGGAAACGTTCCGCCTATCGATCGTTATTGGCGTCTGTGCAGTCGACTTATCGATTATGAGGATGCGGCTAAAATTTCCTCTCCATTAGGCTTAGTATGAAAAAGTGATCCATTTACTGTGGCCTTAAAGTACAGAACAGTTAAGGCGACTCAAGGACACGATCCGACATCAACTTTCCTGCTAAGGTGCCATCCCCAGCTAGAAAACGTTCATGCGACATGTATTAAGCCCATGACAACTTGGCTCCATCCCGTCGCGCGGTAAAAAAGCCACACAAGCTGCTTGACGAGGTTTTATTGCTAGATTTGCGTGTTAATTACACACAAACGCTGCAGCACCTGCCTGCGAGCCAGCGTGAGCCACAATGTGCAAGCCCTGAGCGCGGCGGGCAGCGCCGACCGTTTGCGTGTGGAGTTAGCAGCGTGGCCAGCGGGTTCAGTTCTGAGAAGATCTCCCGGGGAAATTGGCAGAGCTGCGGCTGAGGCAGGTTTTCCGGCGCGTCATTATCCAGATCTCGTATCGTATTGTGGCCATGGGCTCATCTCATTGGCTCCGGGAGAGGTGTCTAGAGGCGATCAGCACGCTCGCCGACTAACTGTACATTTCAGGCGTGTGGGCGCTGGGGGGCGCTCGCCGCGTTGTGCAAAATCCTTGCCCCTGCCGGTGACGATCTCCGCTGGCAGCGGTGTCACGGCGTTCGCCGGGCGTGAAATTGGCTCAGCAGAAATCTGGAACGTTTGCTGTTTCAGCTCGGGCCGCGGCTGCTTTCGCCGCTCGACAATGTGATAATCCCGGGGCCCGGGTAGACGTCGGCTTATGTGTAGGATAGCATCTACGATTTCTCCTGTATACGAAGCTCCCTTTGAACGTCACATGCATCGTTGAAATCGGACACGCGAAATTCGGATGAAAATTTTTCACGCAGCGAGAACATGCTGGCTCCCTCTGGCGCTGGATTTCCCATACTCCTCGGTTGACAACTGGGAGGCATTCTCCGTGGCCTCTCTGGAAAAACCAGACAATTGCGTGAGCACGAAATGCGCTTAGTGGAGCAGTAAGATGTGTGTCTCCGTCTCGCAGGCCCTTCGCCCGCATTTGTCCGACCGCCGGATCGAATGATAAGAAAAGCCGCTCATTGTGACGCAAAAGCATTAACTTTCTTTTGCAAGATAATTGTTCGCAAACAGCAGGTGTTGCCATACGCATTGGTACATGCATGCTGCACGGTTTGTGCCCGCGGTCTGGGAAGTGTTGCCTAAAATGCAGCATTCAACTTGATATCGCTTGGGATATTTTGCTAACTGCGACCGCCTGGAGACTTACACATGTCGCTCACCCCTCACACAGCAGCATCTGGTCACACAACCCGAGAGACAACCAATGGGCGCTGGTTGGCCATGTTGCTCAACCACATGAGAACCCATATATCCAACCCAGCAAACAGCTAACTAAAAGGTGGTCGAGATATCTGGCAGGTCTCACTTAGAGAAAAGCATTTTGACATCCCCTACGCAACTGATGACATCAGGAGTTACGTCAAATATCTCAGCAAAATCGCCTGACTGCTTGGCTAGTGCATTGCGTCACCCGCTATGACCGGAGCAAAGCTTTAAAACCGACGTCAAACGAAAGTTGCTGTTCTTCCGCGTGAGCGGCATGCTCTTATGTCAGCAAAGGTGATATCTTATGTTGATCTCATGTAATTGTCCAAATGCAGCAATGCTCAAGCTGATTCACTGTCGTTACATGATTGTCTACGGTGATAACGCTTTAGGCCTGATGAGTCTTCGGAATGTTTACGCGCTCTGCTATGGGTGTTCTAGCGCAGCCGGATGTTTGCTAATCCCTGCAAGCGTATGTTCGTCATAAATAACAGTACACGTACCAGCACTAAATATCAACATTTCAGGAGGCGAATCGAGAGGCAGGAACATGGGCCCTTGGTGCCCTTCAGTCACCAGTGAGATTTTTGGGCCTTTAAGGAACCAAAGTGCCAAGGTGAAGGAACACCAGAAGTTTCATTTCGGAATCTCATATTTTTTTGAAATGACACGTAATTCCACTGGCATATAGGAGCCAAAGTTTATGTTCGGCCGAAACCTTCCTGCTGGAGAGACATGGTATTCCGACCGCAGGGTCCCTATCACGCTCACGCTCGCACGAATGAGGATCAGAAGATACTCGCACCGTTCTCCGCGCTTGTGATAATGATGGGACTGATTCCTTAGCAGCCGTGGGATGTGCCGAACTGGGCCCTGGGTTTGAAGCTCAGTAGGGCTGCGGAACTTCAAGCTCCGTCTGGGCTCGACCGCGACTCTTGTGGGACGTGCGCTGGTCACCTGGGCGCCGGTGTCGATGACGAAATCTGTAAGTTTTGAATCAGACAGAAAAGATGTCGCTTTCCACAGTGCCGCCTTATGGACATTCAGCATAGAGTTAATATCTCAGTCATACGAAAGAAGCGAAAGAGGATGCGGCTGTTCTATTGATATAGTTGAAAATTCCACTACTGCAATTTTACTGAAATTACGCATGAAATATACGGAATGAAATTAATTACTGCTATTTGCTTCGACAAAGGCATGTTGCTAAAATATCAGCGAATGTGTACTCCATTTTTCTAGATGTGTTTCGAGGAATAAGGTTATTGCTACTATCTTATCTATATTTTTCGCAAGAAGTTCTAGCAGGTTTTACAGATTTAAGGTCCTAACAGGTTTTGCAGATTGACAGTTTAGATTTCATTACGATTTGCACAATGATTCCAGTACGGAAAGCACTAAGCTGTGCTGCTCCCCTAATATCGGCCACTTTGCTGCTGTTACCTCTTCTACCCCGTGCACAGTGCCCTACATCCTATGTGCTGAAAGGACTTACTCTTATTGGAATTATGTTCTTACCGTATAAATTTCGCTGCCCATGTACGGACGGAACGTACGATCCTTGTGGCTGGAGCTATTTAGCAAGGGCCGACTTACCTGCTAACGTTGTTCGACGGGTTATGACCTTTGTTATGGGTTACGACGCGGTTTGTTATGGGTTACGATATCAGCCTACCGCAAGTTAGGAGACTCCGAAAAGTTAGTAAATGACTCTCGGGGAGCGGGGCGCTGCGGATTCACAAGGAAAGCCGACCGAGGCTCCAGCTAAGGTGCACGGGGCTGACCTAGGCCACCCACGGCTAGCCCCGTCCCTGTCCCCCACAACCACAAATGCGCCGCGACGCCCGTGATAAGGAGCGCCATGCTCTGGATTAGGAGGCCCACGTGGGCATTTGGAGGTCCTGTTTATGGATAAGGAGGCCCTTTGCTAGATTGCGGACCCTCTAATTCATAAAGGTTCTCGTGATCGTTCCACCTCTGGCATGACGTGTAGCTGTGACAGATCGGTTTTCATTTGATAGAGCCGAGAAAGACCTTGATTTCCCGGCCTTTCGTCATCATGAGTTCGAAATCCTAAGTCCCTTAGTTTGACACTAATCGTCCTTCAATATACCTGGGTGAGCTGGTTAAGCAGCGTTATCACATAGCGATTATTAAATTGGCAGAAGCTATGAGATATCGTATATGCACATCGACACCTCATGAGTTTGTCAATATAGCCGGCGCTATCCGAGTAGCGTAGTACAACGATCACTGCCTGGTATATTGCATGACAATTTTGTCAAAATCCAAACTCCAAACACATAGATCGTTTGTGACGTGCAATGCAATGTGCAAGTTTCTCTCCGCTCCCAAACTCCATGATTAGTTAAGCACAACGACACGCCACGTAAACCGGAGACACTTCGGTGCGGAACGCAGCAGGATGCATCCTGACCTCACATCAGCCGATTTTCAGGAAACTGCCAGATCAGTACTCCCAGTTTTTTATAAGTTAGGAGCAGTATGTCATGTTTTATCGTTTTTATCATCAATAATGTTTACGAGCTTAATGCCGGACGGATATGAGCCGGCCTATCAGCGGACTCGCCCGTCCCCAGTAAACGAGGCCGGCGCGGACCAGATTGCCAAAACGTACAGACTCATACTCGGAAACGAACTACGGCCTCTGATCCGTCTGCTCCCAAAACTCGGTAAGATGCACGCCATCAGCACGCCGCTGATTTTAAGTAAACCTCTGCCGTAGTTATCAAAGATTTGTCTACAAAGCCACTTCAAACATTTCGAATTACCTTTAGCAACTTTACTGTTTTCCATGGCATATACCTGTCCAACCAATAAAACATTAACTTTTAAGATTGTAGGATACAACGAGATAGTCCATGTTGTCAAAATAAGTCATCTTGAGGCGTTCCCATTACCCTCTACAACTTGAAAAATGCGTCTTGCTCTTTTTCCTGCTTGTCTCCTTGGGTTTCCTTGTCCTGGTTCCGCCGAAGCTCAGTGGCCCTTCGGAAAGTCTCGCGCCGTCCAGGAGGGCTCCGCGAGAACGCTCTGTTTCTTTGGAGACTCGAAGGAAACTTATGCTCACTAACTCAAAACCGACGACGACGCCCCTGTAAATGACGTCTTTTAAATCATTGGGATGACTAAGCACCCAATGTTTTTTTTTTCTCGGAATGATTTGGACCAATGAAGAGTGACAGCTATGGAACATCTGATAATCGAGTCTCGGGCCCGGAGTCAGACGTGTGCCCGGCTCCGGTTCGGAGTCGCACCCGAGTCCGGAATCAGCCCACTTTCCGTTAAGTAGGGTGTTATCGATGCCCTCGAAACTCAGATGGGCTGAAGTCAGAATTGATTCAGCCGTTCTGGTTAGAACAACCGCTGAGCGGGCTTAAGAAACCGTACAAACGGGAACTAGTAGGTGCTGTTGTTTTGGCCGCTGAACTATGTAATATATGTAGCGTTGGATGCTTTGCTGCTTTCATGTTGGAATATGTATCGAATCACAGACTTGCTGTAGTCCGTGAAACTGTCTATATAAAACTGCTTTGTTTACACCAGAGACAACGATATTGAAATCAGTTCTAAACTTGAAAGATGGATGGGGAATAGGGTCTAAATGAATCTAGCATGGAACATGTATGAATGCATATTTAATGGATCTGATATTCTGGATCTGAAGTTGGGAGATGCGAAAAAGGGGCAATACGATACTGGTGATCCGGGATGACCGTGCACGAATCCGTCCGGGCAGGCACCGTTATGGTATGGTTTCGTCCAGGCCGTGATTAGATGCTTGCGCGAACATAATCAATGTTATGGAACCGGGGTAAAGGCAGGATGTATCAGTAACGGCCAAACTAACAAAACAACATCAAAAACAGAAAAGCCTCAAGTGATCATTTGTTGCAGACAAACATTGCAGTTCGCTTATGTTGATAGTCGAATAGCTCCAGCTTCCCAAACGCCTCCCGTAACTCGGCACCTTCCACGGCTCCAGCGGCGTGACCGGCACGTCGACCCCCGCTGTCCCTCCGCGCCGCTGCGGGGCCGCCGCCCGGGTTACTGGGCGTCTTCTGACGGACCGGTCAGCGACCCTTGACCCAGACTATAACGGGGATCGGCATGAACGCGCCGTCACTGCCGCCCGGGCCGGCCCCCGGCGCGACGCGCCGGCCGGCCGGGACAGCGATGGGCGTCGATTGTCGCAGCGCGATCGGCGGGTGGTGTCGCTGTCACCGGCGGCGACACCATCCACTCCCGTGGCCGGTCGACTCCTTGTCCGGCTAGGCGTGACGGCTGTCTGGTGCCGGGGAGGCCGGCGGTCGAGGAGGTGATGCGACTGGGAGATACCGGGCGACTGACCACAAAAGCGGTGGTTTAAACGAGGTCGGCGTCGTTCAGCTGAGCGAAATCGAAGATGGCTGGTCCGTGTATTCGATCATCCTTTGTCCCGCACAGTGACTGACTGGCACCACTACAACAAATAAAACAACTGCGTCGTCCCCAGCAGAGGGCCAACAACGCTACCGACCCGGTCGGCCAGCCGACGCCAGTGAGACTCAGTCGGCTCCGCGGTGCTGGCGGCGGTTCACGCGTCTCCCTGCCAGCTCCACTTGACGTCGATGGGCGCGAACTCCCAGCGGTCGGGCATGCCGCGGTGCCGCACCGTCTCCGCGAACGGGCTGCTGCTCCACTGGAACGCTGGCTGCTGGTCGTGCGTCGGCCCCGCCTCGGCGACGAATTCGAGTCGCTCGGCCAGCGCCGACGACGTCACCTTGGCGTCGATGGCGCCGTACGCCTGGAAGCTGAGCCGCTTCAGCGGGTACTCTCCGGCCGGGTCGTTGAGGTCGCGGCGCGACGCGATGGCGTTGTCGGCCGAGAAGCCGGTGCTGCAGTTGCAGGCCGACAGCGGGTCTTCGGTGAAGTTGTTGTAGCGCATCAGGAGCAGCGCCGACGCCACGTCCTCCACAAGTACGTGATCGCGCCGGAAGAGCTGCGCGCGCGGGTTCTGCGCGTAGCTGTAGTAGTCGCCTTTCTCGCCGCGCAGCATCTTGTTGCCGCTGATTTCGTCGATGATGGGAAAGTACGGCTGGTTGTAGCTGGCCCAGTAGCCGTCGTGCGCCAACACCTGCGTCACGTCGTCGCCCACCACGAGGCCCGGCATCTGCTCGGTGACCCAGAGCAGACCGGGACTGGTGCCCGCCTGGCCCGGCTGGAATCGCTTGTAGTCGACCACCATCCACTGGTTGTTGTAGGTGCCGCTGTTGTGGCGCGAGAAGTTGTTGTGCCACTCCTGACCGGAGGAGGCCAGCCGGTTGGCTACCGTGGCGCGGACCCACTCCATGACGCTGTTGCGCGACGACAGGAACTGCCACAGGTCCTTGTTGATGTTGTCGAGCGACGTCTCGGTCGTCACCAGACCCGCCGACGTCAGGTGGAAGTCGTCGAGTGACGCAATGCTGCCCGGGAAGGCGGAGAACGCCACCGTTTGTGCCGCCACCTTCTGCGTGCTGTTGGCTCCGCCGGCGCTGTAAGGCAGCGTGATGCGCTTTACCATGCGCGACATGAAGCTGTAGTCGACCCAGGTGGCGTGTCCCACCAGCAGGTCGGTGTTCTCCGGCAGAAGCTTCACGAGGACTGAGCAGTGGTCGCCAGCGGTGAGCGGCTCCTCCACCGCTGCCGGCTTCGCCTCCGCCACCTCCGCCGCAGCATTCGCCTTCTCGCGCAGTGGCAGGCCGACTATCAGGTCCATCGCCTCAGGGATGGCGTTGATCCAGACGGCGGCCATGTCGGACGCGCCGGGGATCTTCTCGCTGATGCCCTGCTGCAGGCCGTCCAGCTGGCTAAGGACCAGACCCACCTGGCGCCAGTACGGGTCGCGCGCGCTGTCTGACTTCACCCGCTTGCGCGTCCACTCCAGGTTGGCGCTGAAGTACTCGCCGATGGCTTCGCACTTGGCCGCCGCGCCCGGTTTGGCGCACATGCTGTCCACCGCGTTGTAGATGAAGTCGGCGATCATCTCGCTGGAGGCGTGCGCCTCGGCGAGGCCGGCGGCAAACGCAACGACGCTGTCGGGCGCCGCATCATTGGGCCGGCCCTCCAGCTCCAGTCGCGCCCAGCCGGTGCTGTTCTGCTCGTCGGTGAAGTTGGCGCGCACCACCCAGCCGTCCGCCTCCTTCGCATGCACCGTGTACTCGCCCGAGGCGGCGTCGTGCGTCACCGAGATGACGGCGGCGCCGGCGGCGGCGGCCAGCGCCAGCAGCAGGGCGGACGAGCGCAGCATCGCTGGCGTCGGAGCGGGGACTGGGCGACCGGCCGCAGCGCGGCGCGTTGGAGTCCGACGACGGCCGCGCCCCTGGCGGCCGACTGGAGAACGTGAGGGCGGATGTTGCGGCGCCGCGACACGGGGAAGAGAGAAGAGAGAGGTCTGACACCCGACATGAGCCGGCTACCGTAACCGCCACGCGCCACTTTCATCCGCCGCCCGTCGCCCCGTTCGCGTCAGGCAGCTCGTCACCTGTTCTTGGAACGGGATAACGGGCTAATTTGGCTTCGGCCGAGCAGCTCGTTGAATCTAAGGCATTTCGCTCAGAAGGAATCACAGCTTTGAGAGGTTTGCAGACTTAAATCAACAGCGAAAAGAGAAGCGCAAATTTCGTTTTCGACATGTGCAATCACCCAATGCAAAAATCGCATCGCTGATGTGTAAGTTGCGGAACTATGGATATCATGAAATCATATTGTCGGCAGCGGCATATGCATGCATTAGCGAACTTTTTTATAGCAAAACATAATAAAAGTATTTGTATGATCTATGAATGGTGAACACAAGTTATTGACTCGCCATTTTGGGGCAGTCCTGAGCATCCCTGAGCGGTAAACGAAGTCATCAAGGACAAACAGGACACTATGAATTGTACGCCTGTCAGCGGACAGGCGCCCAAGCGGTCCATTCGGTCGATTTAGAGGAGAATGCTGCTAGCTCTGAAAACTCATGAATCTTTGGTCGTATTCACCAGTCCACCCACACGGACAGTTGGGAGGGCAGGGGAAGTGCGCTGAACAGGACACCAAACAGTCCGACAGCCAACGCAGCCCAAATATTTATCGGTCGGATGGCTGTGGTGACGTAAGCAACAGCGAATTTCCCGGTTCACCGCACTGGAGTGAATGGTGGCTAATTGATGGGCCCGATGCTGGCGTCCATCTCACGCATCTCTCGGCTGACGTAACGCGGCGTGGCACATGGTCACGTTCGCAGAAATGAAAGACAGCTAATGCACATATTTGGTATTGTCTCAGCCGGATCGCTGACATGCCATGGCAAGTTACGTCGAGCTGCACTAATTATAGGAATATTTCAGCATGCGACCGAAATACATGCATGCATTGCATGTTGAATAGCGAAACAAGGGGTCTTGCAAAACTGCTCGAAACAAACGCCCTAAACGATGGCTATTGTGGATCGGCGTTACAAGGCAGTGTCTTGGTGTTTCGTGACAATATCCGTATGTTGTCTCAGCAGTGTGCACCTGCAGGTGTGATCAGAGCGCGTGACGAAAGAAGAACCAGTCGCTGCAGCTGCCGGGAACTAATCCATGCAACAGCTGCCTGCAAACATGCAGTTACGTCAAGGGAACCGGGCCATATTGCATACCGTTAAATGAGGCCGGCTCCTAGCACGTGCCAGTAACTGGTCTCACGCGTCAACGACTTATTTGTAGCTGTTGGTCACATAAAGAAGATGCCTTACGTTTTAGGTAACCACAGACGGACAGCGCGTCAGTATGCCGACAATTTATATGTTATTCGTCTGTGTACCAAGATGCTGGATATGCAAATTTTGTTATGAAAATATTCAGCTTCAATTCACGACGCTACACACGACACACACCTCAAAACCTGCTGTCACGTGCGCCAATTACGTACAACATTACCTGTTATTTCAGGAGCAGCGTTTTAGGCCTTAGTGAGGTTGTGGCATTGACATCTTCCTCTGTTCTAAGTCTGCGTGTCGTAGCAAGAGACACCGTGCTATACGTTGACGCGGGCCGAATCAACACGCAGGGTACACCCGATGATCGTAGACCGAAGAGAAACTACCATTTCTCAGTCATAGATCAGTTACGGCGCCCGCCTGCAATCACAACAACGTCGATGCGCTGGGAGCACGGCGAACGGCTTCGCTGTGCGCTATCGGCAGCGAGAAGCTGCACCTCTCAGGCGCCAATATTGACCGGTTCGCCGAAGCTACAGCCGCTACCGGATGCCGACTCGCAACAAAGTCTGTACAGGTGGGCGAAAATAAAAGCAAAACAGCGGTCTGTTTGCTAACGGTTTTCAACATCTCGCTTACATGGATTTGTGTGTGAGTGTCAGAGCAAGAGTCCTTCACAGATGATAGTCATGTTACCCAATCCAGCCGCCTCTCATCCGCTACTTAGCACTTACTTGCTACCAACCGAGCTCATACCCGCCCGCGACCCCTTCCTCATCGTGGTACGCACCTGCTGTCCACGCGTTCGCCGTTCTTTAACTCTGAATTGTGGACAAGCTTCAGAAGGCCTTTTACTTACACGAGATCTCATGCAACATTATTGGAAAAGCGCTAATGGAACTAATAGTGATAACACAAGTACAAGCAGTAGTATCATGCATATTTTGCAAATATCTACCCGAAATTTTGCGAACGTCTTAAGCATCCCGCAAAACGGTACCCGTAATTATCCCAAAGCCTGTGCCCAACCTATCTTGCCACCCTGGGCCCATGTGGCTTACCCAACGCGTTAAGTTCTCTAACTCGAGTGTTTGCTAAGCATTATATCACTTCGCGACACTAAGCATTGCGGCATAAAAGCGGCGTGTCTCCCGTATATGCACAGCCTCATATACAGGACACACTGCTGTGTCCGCACCCGTTCCCGATGTTTACACTGCTGTGTCCGTGCACGTCTCCGCTGTGCATTCTGCTGTGTCCGCTCACGTTTCTTCTGTTCACGCCCTCAATATGAAGCCTTCAAGTGTTCACCTGTCCAGCGTTGGTGGCGGTGCCGAGTCGCCAGTCCCGCCGCGGCAGAATGGCTGGGACTCAACGTGTGACCGCCGAACCACGAGCCAGCCGCCTGGGAAAACCGGGCCTTCAGCCTTGGCCACGGAGCCCCGGAACGGCGTATACATTGGGCATGTGACGGGTCCGGCGGCGCCGCACCGCGGACGGCGTCAGCTGGCGATGGGTTTTGGATGGAAGCCGCACCGATGGAATGGGAGCGGCACCGATGGGATGGGAGCCGCACCGAGCACGGCGTCAGCTGGCGATGGGTTTTGAATGGGAGCCGCATCGATGGAATGGGAGTCGCACCGATGGAATGGGAGCCGCACCGATGGGATGGGAGCCGCACCGAGCACGGCGTCAGCTAGCGATGGGTTTTGAATGGGAGCCGCACCGATGGAATGGGAGTCGCACCGATGGAATGGGAGCCGCATCGATGGGATGGGAGCCGCACCGAGCGCGGCGTCAGCTGGCGATGGGTTTCGCCGCACGCTGTCGGTATGACATCGCTGCGCTTACGGCGATGTACGGTTAAGGCTTATCAGTTGCTGGGCGTAAGTCGGCAGTGCAAGGTTGCAGCGAGGAGTTGTTTTTCGGCTTACATGACAGTTTGTGGTAAGCCCCACATTGCTGGAGAAAGTTGATGCGTGCTGATTTTCCTGTTTACCCTGGGTTCTGACACTGTGCAAAGTTGTACCACCAGTTAGATATTGCATAAGAATGTGGTTATTCACGTGCCTCTTACCCGGATACCATAGAATTTTTAAGTTTCCAGATGCAAAGTATCTTGACCTTGACCTAGTCGTTAATTCCTGGCGATGGCAAGATATGGCTTCTTCGAGGACGCACCCCAGACTGTGGCTTCTTCGAGGACGCATTTTCACGTTCAAGCTGCCTAGACGTTACTAGTTAAGTGTTGTTCCGTGTATACACAGTCTTGTGCAACACTTGACCTTACCTGTCTTGAGTATGTTACCAAACCGCCAAAGCCATTGATGGAAAAGAACATATCGGATGTAAACAACGAAAGCCAAAATGTCAACATCATGGATAGCGACGTGGTAAGTCGTGAAGTGAAAAGTGTTGGAGTGATGAATATTGACAGGATGCCGATCGGCGTACTAAGCCCGATTTTCAGCAAAAGCTTTTAATTCTGCTCACCGCTCCGTTGTGAAGTTATCCGTCTACCCCTGCCTGATTGAACTTTCCGGTCGCAAGGTGTGACAAAAAACACGGCGTGCCGAGGTGAACAATAAGAAAAGAGTGAGACAAAGCTGCGTATTGAGCCCATGCTGCTAATGTGTGCAAATGCGTGCCCGTAACAGCCATACACGGGTGCTGGTGCTAACGTTTTCACCAGGTTTGCGCAAGGTACATGCTAGACCCATGCCACCAGACTCGTTGAAGGTTCCGTCATAGAAGGGAGCTCTGTATAGCACCTAATTTTATAAGTGTATAGGAAAGTGGTGAACACACTCGAATCCCATGTAGGAAATCGCAGTTAGGAAATCGCGTGAAGGGAATCGCATGTAAGGAATCACAAGAAGGGAATCGCATGTAGGAAATCGTAACGAGCGTGATTTTTCCCAATCCAACAGTTCTCAAGCCAACAAAAACGAATTCCAACAAACGTGACTCGGCGTCTTTCACGGAACCACAGGCACGCCTGACTCTGGCATAAGCAAAAGAGTAAGCTCCTTAAAAGCTTAGGCTGGGAGCAGACATTAAACACCGATTGTGTTCCGGGCCTGCCAATGCAGTTTATGGGCAAACTGGGTATAATCAAAGGAAACGCTTCTGTTTGTTGCCGCTCTAACCGTGTAATTTCAAATGGGCTAAAGATAGTGGAGCGTTTCGCTTCTACCCGTAGCAACACATTTCACTCACGTACGCCAGGCAAAGATGCTGTCAAAGCACGACACTGTCAGTCCAGAGTTTCTGCCTTCACCGGTGACAGCGCGCGCCGTCGGGGCGTGAGCGAGAGCGGAGGGAGGGTAGAAGGGAGAGCGCAATGAGCCCGGCTACCTCCCCGACCTCGGCTCACCTCACCGGCAACCGTAAGCCCGGCAGATCTAAATCGGGCCAGAAAGCGGAACTACCCCAGACGAGAGATGACTGGGCGGATGAGCGCGCGGACGGCGCAGAGTAAAAGTGCAAGCGTCGACTCACCCTGTGTGAAAGCCTGCCGGAGCCGATGCACAGCGTGCACACGCGCGCCGGGCTCGGTTGTCCCAGAGGAG